CACTTCTGGCAGCTGGTGCCATCCTTTAAATCATCTCTTGTATTTAATAAAAAGTATAGAAAATACATTTTGTATTATAATATATGAAATATATTTTGCATTGAAATACATGAGTTTTCTTGGACTACTCTTTGGTGATCTGACCGGGCACCTTTCCCTGTGTACCCTCAGCTTAGTGTCCTGCCAGCCCTGCCTTCCTGGACTTGCTCTGTCCGCTTTGTGTCTAGAACTGTTCTGCAGGGCGGTTGGCTCTGTTGATTCTCCTCCTCGTCTTTCTTGGCCGTGCTTTCCAGGGGTATGCAAGGGAATCCTATGCTGCTAACACTGCCCACAGTTCTCAATCTTGGATGCACAGTGACATCACTTGAAAGGCAGTGACATGTGAGTTTAAATGGCCTGGAGTAAAGTCCAAGTATCAAGATGACTAAAACTCCCTGAGTGATTCTATTGTGCAGCCAAAGTCAAGGCTACTTCTCTGGCCTAGCTCTTCTTTGAAGGAAGAGACCGTGTAGGGACATTACTACCAATACAAGGGTTTGACTTTAATTCAGAAAATACTCATTGAAGAAGGCTGGGTTGTATGTGTGTAGCTCATGAGTCCCTGCTCTGATGCCAGGCACATGAGAAGCATCTTGCCACACAATGTGTACTGTGCCGAGCATAAGTGAAAGTAGAAGCCTGGCCACCAGCAGTCACAGCCTGTTCCTTGTTGAAAGCGCATGTTCTACCATTGACTGCAACTCTTATCCGCTGGTGCATTTTCTTTCCTGGGAGCTGGGGTGAACCTTTGGCTTCTTATTGTGGAGTCAAGGGTAAGATTTGCCACTGAAGATGTTTCAGGCAATCATGACAGGGAAAGATACTCAAGAGGCTGGGAACTCTTCTGTTGCTCTCCGTAATTAAATATGACTAGAAAGAGATAAGCCTGAGCTGGTCCTTTAGTACTGATTCTTAGCCTCTGGTATACTAAAAGTCACCATCTTGAAAAATATGCTGGAGCTGGGGATTTAGCTCAGCGGCATAAGCGCCTGCCTTGCAAGCAGGCAGTCGTGAGTTCGATCCGCGGTACCGATAAAAAGAAAAAAGACAAAAAAAAAAAAAAAAAAGAAAAGTATGTTAAAATCCAGATTGCTGGACTTGGAATTCTCCCCCATTGGTGTGGCTTAAAGCCCAGCAGTCTGAGTTTTTAATAAATAGCTACATGTAATCTAGACCATATCCTAGCAAACATGTTCCCGAGAATAACTTGGGAGACAGGTGAGTGCAGAACAGGAAGGAACTTAGACTGCCCCTCTTCCCTGTTCCCCGGCCCCTCTCTCCTGTTTCAAGGCTCCCAGAAGTGAGGCACTCTGCACTCATCCTCACCTGCTCCGTGCTTTCTCTGGATTCCTCAGTTCTGGTATTGTCTCCTCCGTCACCTTCCTCAAACTAAGGAAGGGTCCTGATAGGTTACCACTTCTTGACACCCGCTTCTTTCTGGAGCAGAGTTTTAGCTATATAGAAGCTTCTCATTGTGAAGAGGCAGAAAAGATACATTTAAGGCCTAAGGATGTACATACATATGATAATGTTCAAAATATATGGAAGAGATTAGAATGAACATTGTTTTATATGACCCCCCAAAAGCACAGGACACAAAAGCAAAATCTATAAATGGGGTTCGATCTGTCTAAAAAGCTGCACAGCAAGAGAGACAATCAACCAACAGGCAACCTGTGGAATGGAAGAAAATATTTGCCCACGCCCAGCGGGAGAAAGTAGCTGCAAACTACATGTCTAGAAACCGGTTCATATCCAGAATGCTAAAAGAACTCAGTAACACAAACATTAATAATCCAGTTTTAAAGTGAGCAGTAAAGCTGAGCATGGTGGAACATGCCTGTGAGCCTAGCACTTGGGAGGCTGATTCCAGAGAATCATGAGTTCAAGGCCAGCCTGAATACATTGTGTGCAAGAAGAGTCTGGCCTACAGAGCAAGACCCTGTCTCAAAAATAAAATAATTAAAATTAAAATGGACGATAAATCTAAATAAATTTTTCTCAAAAGAAGACATGCAAATTGCCAATACGTACATTAAAAAGAAAACACTCAGCACCAGTAATTATCATGGAAGTGAACATCAAAAGCACCATGAGCTATCTCCTCATTCTGAATACCTCCTGTCAAAAAGACGAATCGTAACAAGTACTAGCAAGGATACAAAGAAAAGGGAACCTATGGACTCAGTTGGTGGGAATGTAAATTAGGACAGATACTGGGGAAAGCTGTGTGAGACTTTCTCAATAAAATTAAACATAACTTGTCTTGATAGTACATGTCTGTAATTCCAGTTACTTAGGAAGCTGAGGCAGGAGAATTACAAGTTCAAGGTCTGCCCAAGCAGTTTAAGAAGACCTTGTCTTAAAATTAAATGGTGTGGGGATGAAGCTCAGTAGTAGTATGCATGAAGCCCTTGTTCAATCTTCAGTTCCCAGAATTTTTCTAAAAATAGAAATATGATTTATCAGTCCCACGACTGGTCACATATCCAAAGGAAATGAAATCGGTATGTTGAAAAGACATGTGCAATATTGTGGCACTATTCATAAAAGAAAAGACATGGTAACAATCTAAGTGTCCGTTAGCTGGACACTGACTCAGTGGAATATTAGTCAGCCATAGAATAAGGATGAAATTCTGTCATTTGTAGCCACATGAGTGGATGGAAGACCATTATGTTAAGCCTAATAAGCCAGGCACAAAAAGACAAATACTGTGTGATCTTACCATATGTGGAATCTAAGGAAGCTGATCTTACAGATGGTGAGAGTAGCATAGTGGTTAGCAGAGGCTGGTGTACCTCAGTGGTGGGGCTTCAGGCTCAACCTCCAGTAGCACCAAAATAAACATGCAAAATATTAAGTGTAACAATATAAATATTTTATATACACATATATAAAATAAACACACAGGTACAAAGAGGGAAATTCAGACCATAAAATGTGCGGGATGATCTTAATTGTATAAACACTAAACATCTTTTCCCTGGTTAGCACAAACTTGGAAGACTGCCTGATTAAATGTTAATGGTGGAGTTAGGGATTAAGATGACATTTTCACTATTATTCCCAAATTTTGATGCAACAAATATGTGATTACATGTACCCACTATACAGTGTCACACAAAACCATTTCCTCTAAAAGAACCCTGTGCTCCTCCTACTCATGGCTCCTTCCTACCTACCTTCACCTTTTAAAAGCCGTGGATTGTTTCACTATCTTCATAGTTCTGCCTTTTTCAAAATGTTGTGTGCATCACTGGCATCATACAGTATGGAGCCCTTTTAAATTGGCTTCTTTTACTTATCATGAATCACATACTTTTTTTTTTATACATCACATTTTTCAAATTAAAAGCTATGTAATCTTTGTGACCAGCCACCATTTATTTGTAAGTAGAAAGAAAAGAAAAAGGAAACAGTTTAAAAAGTCCTATTATGTTGTTTTATTTATTGATTGCCGTCCAGTTAACACTGCCTAGAGTCTTTGCACTCTGTTAGTTTTAGGCCCCGGGTTAGGCCTGGCGAAGCTGTCCAGGCAGCGGCACTCAGCTCTGTAGAAGCAGCGCATTCTGCCCCATTGAGCAATTTGGGAGGCAGGTCTTGTAGACTCTTCAGCTCCATCTGCAGCTTTTGAAAACTATGCCCCAAAGAACATGTGTTATAAAGTAAATTAAATATTTAAGCCTGGTGTAGTTTAAATCCACCTAGAGAAGTCATAAAGAAGCACCCATCTAGTAAAGCATACAGTCACACTGTGTTATCAGACTGATCACTCAGTTTGTTTATCTAAAACTTTGCCCTTGGTTTAATAAGGATGTTTACCTACAGTGGAAAAGGTGTGATCTGTAACTGTTTAGTGGTGCCAAAGGATGATCTCTGACCAGTCTCAGCCCCACTTGTTAGCATACAGACCTCAGACCTGACCCAGTCAGAACACAGAACAGGGCCCAACTTCTGAGCTTTCAGTAGCCTTCAAGAGACTCCGCGGTGAAATGTGAGAAACTATCAGATTCTAAAGTTTCTTTGAAGGCAAAAAACCTATGGCACCATGAGTCAGTGCCATTCGTGGACTGCAGGGAAAGAGAACAAGAAGTTACCAAGAAATAAGCCCTCCCTGTGAATCAGCCTCATGAGCAGGCCGCTGTGGGGAGAACCAGAAGCCAGCCCCTGCTGGCATGTGGGCTGGGAAACATGGAGAGCCAAATCCCCCCACGCCACCCTCGTAAGCCATTGGCTGATGGAGAGAAACACAGGCAGCGATGATGGCTATTGAGGTGAAGTACAATTTAAAGCTTGTGGTGTTTTAGTGTTTCACTGACTTTGCAGGTCTAAAGCTGGTGGTCTGATCATCTGTTCAGAGGGTGGCATCTATGGGAATCTCCTGAGGTGGTGGCCTTTACTGATTCCCTACTGTCTTGTTTTGAGTCCTGCATCATTTTCATTGTTTTGTTGGGTTTTGTTCTGTTTTGCTTTGTTTGATTTTATTGTATCCGTTGGCATGGACAGCTATTTTGAGGATAGCAAGATTATGGTAGCCATTTTGAATTTACTATTATCTTGTTTTGAAGTCCTTTATTTCATGTTTTATTTTTATTGGTTCTATCCTGTTCTGTTTTGTTTGAATTTTACTATGTTTGAAGGTATGGGCAGCTATTTTAAAGGTAGCAGGAGGCATTATGGTAACCATTGTTGATTACCTATTGTTCTGAAGTCCTGTGTCACTTACAGTGGTTTTTAATGTTTTGTTTTGCTTGGTTTTATTCTCTTTACAATAAAAATTTAAAAAAAAAAACCATGACAATTTTCATTTGGCCAATTTAAACACAATGCAATTGATGCTATCCCAGGCTTTGTTATAGAAATCTTTTCCCCTACTGTGTTATATTCAAAGAGAGTGGAAAAAAGTTTTTTTAAATCAGTCTGGTTATTAATATTTTACATTTCCCTTTTTCTTACAGACAGCTTCAAAAGATGGTTAATGATATTAAGAACAACGAAGGTGGAATAATGAACAAAATAAAAAAGTAAGTCTATTCACATACTTACTTATATAAAATAAGTCAGCCTGTACTAAGTAAAAGAAAACAAAGATCTCCACCAAAATTGGGAGCTACAACCTGTTCAGCATGTCATCCTTCTTACTTCTTTGTGATCCATTGTTGTTACACAAGGCAAGTGAGTTGGTAGCACTCATGGAACTTAGGTTTTCCTTCTCATGCTGAAGAGGTAAGTTTGCCTGTTGAGAGTGCATAACAAATATCAGAGCAGGACATACCTGGAGAAATCCAAACAAGTGGCACAACAGTCGTAGCATCTAGGGATGCTATATGTGTTATGTAAACGTTGCCTTGTTTCTTTCTTTTTTTGAGGCAGGTTCTCACTAAGTTCCTGCACTGGGCCTGAATTGTGATCCTCCTGCCTCAGCCTCAGTCTCACGGAGTGCTGGGTTTTCAGGCATGCACACCACGTCAGGCTGATTTCTGCTTTTTAAATTATTGCTTTACAAAGTGTTTTAACATGCATTTGGAGAAGAAAAGCTGTAATCATAAATCTTTTTGTACAGCAAAAACAATTAAGTTTTATAAAAAGGAGGAAGAGGAGGAAAAGGAAGAGAAGGAGAAGGAAGAAGAGAATAGAAATTGTACATACCTTCATTTGCCACTCAAAATCTGAGTCAAATGGAATGGGGAAATGACATTTTGTTAATTTTTGTTTTTAAATGAAAGTAATGCAGGGGGAGGGAAGCAAGGAATTCAGAATTGTTTGAAATAAAAATCACCCATTTCCTCATGTCCTCGCTTTAACCCTTATCCAGAAACATATATTGTCATTAGTAGGTTCAGTGTATGTTCACACACACATGAGTATGTATACTCACATAGTGCACGTCTGTACATGTATTTTTATCATGGTGTCATACTACATGTACCACACTGCTTTGTTGGTCCTACTTAATCTTGTATCATGGACGCCTTAATTAGGTATGCAAAAGTAAACCATACTCTTCACTGGATAGCTCGTTAATATACTGTCTACTAGAAGTATGTTATAATTAAATGACCCAACTACATGTGGGAGACATTTTTAAGACAGGAAGTGTAAGCTTTTGGAGGTGATTTTCTCATATCAGTTGAAATTCTTTGGGGACTTCTTTTTGTTTAACTGTCACAAATAAGACTTGAATAAATATTTTTTCAAGGTGGGAGTATAACAGCAGGATAACTTCCTGAAATGATTCTATGGTGAAGTGAAATTGTTGAATGGCAAGACTTGTGCCTTTAAATTTTTTTGGTAGTTGCTATTACCAAATTCCCATTCCTAAAATTTTGTGCTACCATCAGTGCAGAAAGTCTATTCATTCTTTTTGATCTTTGTTAAAATTAAAAGTAAAAAATCACTTTTGGAGGTGTGTAAAGAACATAAAATGTAAGTGAATCACAAGTTTTATCAGCGATCATCATAAAGCAGTTTGTATGGTATCCTGCTCATGGTAGCTAGCTTGTCCCATGAGAAGCAAGTGATTATTTACATTTATCCTGTCTCCTACACACAGAATCCTACTCTCTATAAGCAAGACCTGCAAGGCATTGTCACCACACTAGCAAGTCTAGATTAATTACTCCACAATTAATATCCCACTTCTCAGTGCACAAAATACGTCTCTGTTCCATAGTCAGTCACGCTCACAGAAATCAATTTTTTCTGACAGTTTCTGTTTCAAACATTTTGCTCATTGTCCCTGAGAGAACTTTTTACTTGACAAATAGTATTTTTTTCTTAGCTTGGAAAATATGGCCACTGTTGTCATTACCTGGTCAAAGCCAAGGACTCTTTGGTCCAAAGGGATCTGCAGTGAAGTTCTCACCTAAGACCAGGCAGCAGGTGTTCTTTTGAAAGAGAAAGTACAGTGGACACACCAGTTCTTTTACTGAAGACTGTGACCGTGCTGTCACGACTGTACAGTCCACAAGCAAAATGCTGGGGTAGCTACTGCCCCCACATCTTTTACTCCTGACGTGTGTTCAGTGGCCACCTTTTTCAAGTTTGTGCTTTGTTCCAAGATGATTAGAGGGTGTTGAAATGCCCTTTCTTTTCTTTACCATAATGATAGCAGTGGCAGACAATAGTTGGCTTATACATTTTGAAAATTTACTGTTCCATGAACCAACTTAAGTAACAAACCCACTTTTGTTTCTTTATTTCCCCCCCCACCATAACACCTTGAACAGTCTTTCTTTCTGTAAGTTTAATGCCTTTCCCAAAACAAATTGTTGGTTCATGATGAGGAAAAAATAAGAATTTCTATACAAATACAATTTTTTTTGCAAAATTATTATTCTAGTAAAGATTTTTAAATCAAACTTTTAATAGAAATAAAGTAATTCTTATATATAATGTTACCATACACATTGCTTGTATTGAAAGATATATTTCAGTCAATAAATGGATATGTTTTATTATGTATATTTGAAATTCCATTAAGCAAGTCATTCTTAAATAGAATAAATATTATTAAAATAATAATTTACTTTAAACTTGAAATCTTGAGACACTCATCATTCACTTGTTATATTTTTAAATGGTACAAAAATAATTTCAGTTCAATCTACAGCCAAAGCTCTTACATAACTTTTGTCCTATTTTTAAAAGTTTTTGCACACCATTTAAATATATTCATCTCTCTTTTTACATTTCTATCAGTCAACCAACATTACCTTTTGATCTTTTGACCAGTGCTTTGTACTGAGTACTTTGAGGTTTCAGAGATTATTCACCCTTGCAAAGGCATAGCTACACCATGCACCGAGGAGATGGAGAGAGGTGAGAAATCCCTCACTATCGCACTTACAATGTATTAAGTCTTTCTAGAAGAAGCCTGTTCTGTTAAAGACCTGTGCTCTCTAGGCTTGTGTTATGTTATGGGCCTTGCACCAGCTGTCCTGCCCACTGACTCTGGCTCTGACGGTTATTTTCTACAGGTTAAAAGTCAAAGCACCTCCAAGTGTTCCACGAAGGGACTATGCACTAGGTAAGAGCATTTCTAAAATCCTTTAACTAACTTTTGACTAAATGTTCATGTTTATTGGTTGGAAAGGGAAGTATATTCTACTCATTTGAAAACAAAAGATCCCCATTTTAACTTTGAGAATGACTGAATCTATTAGGCAGTTGACTGTACTAAAAATGTAATCATCCATCCATCCATCCATCCATCTGCCCATCCCTCTGTCCGTCCATTCATCTGCACAGCTACTTATCAAGCATATATTAAGCATCTTCCAGGTTCCAGGCATATAAAAAGGTCTAAAATAGAAATGTGGTGCTAAACAAGTAAGTCTCCATGTTCACAGAATTTATAACTGAAAGAGTAGATGATGTGAGAAGCAATTAGACAGAATTCTAGGGAAAGGAAAAGAGCGAAGTCCTGTGGAAGTTCATAGCAACAGGACCTAGTCTAATCTGAGGCATGTAGGAAAGGGAAGCTTCTTCCTCAGTAAAAAGGTTAAATGCATACTTAAAGGTTGTTCAAGAGGCGAAGGGTCAAATTACTGACCGTACATGGTTACTCAGTCCTCTGTGAGTTTAGTCTACGTCCCCAGTTACTCTTCAGATTGGTAGTGTACATGGCAGCAGGGAGCAAAGTCAAACATCCAACACACTTTTTTTCTGGAATAGAAGGGAGGGTGGTTCTACATCTTTTCTATAGCATTAAATGTAAAGATTGTCCAAACATGAACAGGTCCAGTCAGCCCTCGAAAACCACAAGGCTACAGATATCACTGATTCCTTTTTGCAGAGCAACAGGTAAAACTAAATCATAACCTTGAATGGTGATTACTATTTTATTTTACTTTTCTGCCATTGGCCAAGATAGTAATAAATCAGATACTTGAGGCCCAGATGAGCACTCAAGGAATCTTATCACACTGGGAAATGTTGCTCAGTGCACCCAAGTCTAGTCCCTGATCCGTTGTACCACTGACCCCAACTCAGTGGGTCACAGAATATTTATTGCTTGTATCCTGTCACCCAGTCAGCAAGCTTAGATAGCTGATTAGTGGTTTCCTGTGCAGTTTAGAACTAAGAAAGTGGGATCCTGTCCTGGGTTTAAAAATCTACTTAATCCATAAATCAAGGAATCTCCTTAAATTAGAACAAATTGTTTTCTCCAAGATTAGAAAAGAGAAAAGAAAATAAAGCAAGGCAGCCTAGATCTGTTAAGTTTCTAAATCAAGGAAGCTGCTTAGTTAAATGAGGACAAATTCATTTTTTTCCTCCAAATTCTGAAAGAACGAAAACAAAAAGTATCTAAATGGTTTTGGTGGAAAAATTATAAAATGATCGAACCTTTGGGTTTAAAAGGAACCCAACAGGTGCTGCAGTCCAACATCCAAGCTAGGGCTTAGCCTGCACCCTACCACTGAGGGGTCCCCACCATGAGCAGGGCTCGGTTTCTGCCTGGACACCCTATTAACAGTTTTCAAGCTTCTATGGTCCAGTGAGGGAGGCGAGGCCCTGGGTGAACACTGATGCAATTCATTTCCTTGGCTTCCTGGGTTTGTTTTAATGGGCACACAAAACAGGTCTTTAATTATCATAAAGGTACACAGTACAATTTCAAAGGTGGCCATAAAGGATCATTTGAGTAGTTTCTTCTCTAAATATATCTTCAGGTACTTTAGTTGTTTCACACATCCTTTGACTCATTCAGCAGATACTTCATGTGTGCTCTGTGTGGTTCTTACTGTGCTCCATGAGGACTTAGGAACTGAATATAGTCCCTGGCCTCTAGGTGCTTGATGAGTAGTGGAAAGTAAGATAATACGCAAAACCCTAACAGTAAGTGGATTTACCAAGTTTGGAGGAAAATGGCAGGTGCAGTGATAGAAAATTACTCTGTGTGTACGGGGAAGACTTAGGCCATCGGGAAAGTCTCCTGAGGATATGGCATTTAATTGAAGTTCTAGGGGACAGACATGTAAGAATATTTGTCACTCATAATGAGCCAGTAACATTGGAGATGCTGGACACAAGCGCTAGGAGTTCAGTGTCATTCTTAGAAACCTACAGGGACTAACATCTGATTTCTGGATGGGCATCTCCCTTGATTATCCATTTATGCTCGTGTGTCTGCTTACTCGCTACCCATTTTGCCCCTCCTTTTCTATTTTATACTTGAGTGAAAAGCAGGTAACACTCATCCTTTTGCCTAATTCTTACTCCTTGGGAATCACGCTTTTTTACCTTTTACAAAAATGTACTCTGAATTTTATTGCCTCTATCTCTTAAATGTTTCCCAAATATCTTTCTCCTTCTCCTGCCTGCAGCTCAGGCTCTTATAATCTCATAGGGTACAAGCGTCTTAGAGATTTCTTTAATTCCTATTTTTAGCATATTTAAGGCATGTGGGGTGGTGTGTTTTGTTTTGTCATATTCTCACATGTATATATAATATGCTTTGATCATCCCCCCCTTTCCACTAACCCCCTGTCTCTCCCCCTCAACTCCCATCTTTTTCTCTAATAGTGTTCCTTCTCCTTTGACATCATCTTTTAAAATTTTTTTCTAGATTCCTCATATGAGAGAAAACATGCAATATTTAATTTTGTGAATCTAACTTATTTCATTTAATATGATAATCTCTAGTTATATCTATTTTCCTATAAATGATACAATTTTATCTTCCTTAATTGCATGTCTCCTTAACTCCTAATTCCAGTCCTCATCCTTCATAAAAGATTGCTTTTTAAATAGTTATTTTCATGTCACATCTTTAAATGTTTTCACTCCTCTATATTAAAATAAAGAAAAACAAATCACTGGGGCTGAATACAAAATCCTTTGAAGCTGCCTAGTAACTTCAGACATGTGGCTCTCTTTACCTAATCTTTTTAATTTTTTATTGGTATGTAATGATGCATGGATGAAGTACATAATGATTGCATTTCTCTTAGGAAGTTGGTAAAGATACACAGCACATCTTTTTTTTTTTTTTTTTTTAGGAATGCTCCTATGTAGTATTTTATAATAGCAAAAAGTGTCCATCACAAGAGAAATGGGAAGTAAAATGTGGTAGATTCACATGATGGCAATTGCAATTACAATACAATTACAATTAAAATTAAAATTACAATTACAGTTATAATTACGAGGATGATTAATTTATAGTTAAGCAACATGCACGGATCACAAAACATTATTCAGTAAAGAAGGCAAATTGGAGAACAGCTCAATATAACATTTTCATTAGATATGAAACATTTTCAGTGATTTCATATATATTTGTAAGCCTATTAAGACAAAGTCTAGATGTAAGTACAATAGTCATAATAGCAGGTAAGAGAGGAAGGAGCAGGATGGGGAGCAGTTGGTAGTTGAATAGCACTACTTTTACCTGTAACAACCTAATTTCTTAAAGAGGTGGATCCATACATTATTCAAATAATCAGAACTTTTTTTTTTTTTTGCAACAGTGCAGGGATGGAAGCCACGGCCTTGTACCTGCTAAGCATGTGCTCTATCATTGAATACATAGCTCGTGTTAATTATTTTTTCAACCTTTCTCTTCCTTTCTCACTCCATCTCTTGGTCCTCTTCCCTTTTCCAAAATATCTAACTTTACAATTTAGGCACTGACATAGACAAGCTCTTAGGTTTCCTCCAGTGCCAGCACTCTGCACTCCTGAGGAAACATAGACCTTTGGGTTCCACAGCCCATGATGAAGCGATCCTCTTCTAACATTCCCTGGCACAGAAATTTGCATCTGCCCATCTTCCTGATACTCGGAAGTATCCTTTTTCTTGACCTCAGACAACTGCTCACTTCACCAAAATCCATCAAATAGTCTTGATGTCAATACATTTATTTTCAGTGTGTCTGGGAACACAGAAATGAAGCCCAGTTTCAAAGACTCAATGTCTTCTACTTTGCTATCTGATCCTCAGCCTGGTTGTAGTAGCAGCATCTGGGAGTTTATGAAAATGCCGAATCTCATCCTTGAAATAAAGCTGGGTCAGAATTAGATTCTAGCAAAAGTTCCAGGGAATCTGAATGCATATTAAAGTTGAGAAACACTGCTATAAACCTCTGTCTCTGTCCTTATTGCTTTTCCTGATTTGAAAAACAAGTGGATCCTCAAATTCACTAAAGTTCCAGAATCTCAAAAATCCATCCGATTGCTTTGCCAACATGGCATTGCCCAGTCTCCCTGCTTTTACACTCAATACTTGGGAACTGTCCTTTTGATGAAACCATCGTTAGCACCTGTCCTCTTGTCCTCTTCCTTTCCCCAGCCCTACTTATATCACTGGAGCATTTCCAGTTCCTTTCTTTGTGCCTTTGGGTGGCTGAGATGTTACAAACCCAGGGCCTCAAGTCAGCACCAAATTTCAAAGATCCTAGCATAGGAAGGTCTGACTTCACAGGCCCTCTGAGCCCGGGAGGCCTGTGGAGACTTGAGTCACCCAAAGCTCCTGAAAGTGCCTACCCATTTTCCCAGACATCAGACATCAGACATCAGGATTGTCTCCTCTTTCCAGTCCTGAGAGTAAATGGCACCCAAAAACCCATTAATCCGGTGCATTGGCCTCCGTGAAGACGAAATTCTGAGGGCAGAGGCTGAAAAGGGCTAACACTGCCCAAGGTGGGATGTAGAGTCACCAGTGAGAGCGCAGGACGAAACTTGAAGTGTATGAATAGTGGGAACGTGGCCTCTCAGGAACGCAGCTGAAGCCAGCGTGCAGTGTGTTGCTTTTGGTCCAAATTTGCCAACCAGGCCTTTGTCTCTGAAGAGTCAACATTGCCTGCAGGGACCTCGTGGTCTACTGAGCAAAGCATGCTGGCCTTAAGCAGCTGGCATGGCTGACTGTGAGAAGGTACCCTTCAAAAAACTAAAAGTTTTTGAGTTTTGACCACAAAGAAATGATAAATGAGGAAATAAATGTAACCTAGTTAAACACTGCACAAAATAATGTTTCATTACAGTAAAGCCTTGGTTGAAAGCATAATTCATTCTGGAAACACGCTTGTGACCCAAAACACTTGTATATTAAAATGAATTTCCCTGTAAGAAATAATGGAAATCACAGGCAGTCAAATGCTTCAGAGGCTGTTGAATTTCTGGCATCATTATCTTGCACAAAACATCCTGGTCTTGTGAGTCTGATCCCTAGGATAGGGCCAAAGAGCTTTGGCTGTTGTGGCTGTTCAGGAAGCACAAGGGTAGAGGCAGAAAAGAGGGCAGAGAGAAAGGAAAACAAAACACATCTTGTATTATAATTTTAAACTAACATTTTGATTAAATTAACCTTGTATTATAGTTTGGGACAAAACTTTGGGGAGGGGGCAGGCACGGTGTCGCATGCCTGTAACCCAGCACTCGGGAGGCTGAGGCAGGATAATTGCTGAGAGTTCAAGGTCAGTCTGGGCTACAAAGTGAGTTCAAGGTCAGTTCAAACTACACAGTGAAACTGTCTCAAAAAGACAAAGCAAACAAACGTTTTAAAAAATGATCAATACTTCTATGTGCAGAACTGAGTAGGATCTGATCTAAGAGTTAAGATAATAAAACATCAGATTAGCAGCAGGAAGCATTTTCCACCTTCCTTTTGACTTGGACTGACACGGCTACAGATCCTCAGGAAGGTACTAAAGGCAGGAAGGCTCTGAAGTTCAGGATCAGGCAGATAGGGATTCAGAAAGAACAGAGACGGAGGTTACCGAATGGAGGGCTGAAAGGAGCACCTCAGCTCTGTGCCCACAGCAGCATAAAGGCACAGCACATGAGGATGGGGAAATGCAGAGGGCAAAAGGAAAAGGCACAGTGGACAAACACGGGCATAAAAAGGCAATCTGAAGGTAGCTGACCCAGAAGCCACGTGCACAGTGGACGGTGCTTCAGTAGTGTTGTGAAGGTTAGGCCTGAGTTGCTGCTTAGGAGGAGGACATGGACCACTGTGTTTTCCTTTCTCCTAACATCACAAGTATTGCCGTGCTGCTCTGCCTAGCGCCTGCCTTGTGACCAAGTATTTGCAGTAGAATACTGCTGAAGCAGGCTCCCTGAGAAATATTTACTGTGACATTTGCGTCAGAATTATGAAAGCAAGTGCAGTTGCCTAGTCCTTTAGGACTGGCGGCTCTGGTGGCTGACTGCAGAGGCCTAGAGCCAGAGCAGACGTGTGATGGTGCACAGGGACTGGACTACCAGGGATTTTGTTGTACATAGTAGAGTGCAAGGGACCTGCAATGGCTTCTTTCTGCAGGGCAGTTGGGTGTCAGGCCCTCCTGCTGCTTTCATGAGGGGCAATCAGAATTCATAGAGCTCTGTACCACTTGCTCCTGGAAGTTCACTGCGTTAATCTGGCCAGACTAAACTCAGCCAACAAACTTACCATTCCGTGTCACCCTGAACGGGGTGAGAAAGAAGCCGAGAGTCACTATGACCTGCGCAGGTCCTCGGCCACCCAGCAGGAAGAACAGCACAAAAGCAGGAAGGCACAATCAATCCCCAGCCTTACTGCCTCATAGCCCAAGAGGACACAGAAAGAAGTACAAATCAGCAGAGGCAGGGAACGTACCCATTTGGTCATCTGTTTGACCACTTCAGTGGAGACAATTGTTTCATTTTACTTAGTGCTTTTTCTTTTGTATTTACTAATTAGAGTACATATTTTTTGCTTTTTAAAATTTTTAATACTTTTTACTTTCCTTGCTAATTTCCTTTTTTCTCCTTCTAATAATGAAATTATCTTACTTGCTATTTTATTTCTACATTTTATTTTCTCTCTTATTCCTTTATCTCATTTATTTTGTCTTATATGTCTACTTTTAATTCTTGTTTTGGCTGTGTGTTGAGGGGTCAAGTATGCACGTGCATGTGATGCTAAGGATCAAACTCAGCACAGATGCACAGCACTGAGCTATATTCCCAGTCCTTTTTATGTTTTTGTTTTTAGACAGCGTCTCTCTGTGTTATTCCAGAGAGACTAACACAGACTAACTAATTTGGTGTCTTCTTGCACATCAGAAGGCCCATAGAAAAGGCAAATGAGTCCAACAGGAGGTTCTGGAAAAGACTTTCTGGAGGAGGAAGTATAGGGATTTCCCAGAACAAAGGGCAATGGGCAGGGACCAGCGTGATAGGAGCAGAGCATTACCTGCAGTGTGCAATTGCAGTAACCGGCAGTATGGTGCTCCTGTGCCTGGCACAGAAGACTGAAGCGAGAGAAGTCAATGGAGGGATACGGGGTGGAGGCATCAGAAGATGTGGACATAAAGTCTCAATCTTCTTCCATAGGAAGTCGGTCCTGATTCTTGTGGAAAGGAATAACATGGGCCAACCTTTGCTTTAAGAAGGCAGTGAAAAAAAAAAATTGGACAGATACGTAGGAGAAGGACGGTAATAAGACAAGAGCCTTAGCTAGATTACCACTGCAACTGCTTTCCTTCAGGGCCTGATTGTAAAGCAGCTGCAGACTCACTAAGAAAAGGCTCAGCAAATCCTTTTTACCAAGGCAGGGCGGTGATGTTCACAAAGGTGCTGTCTAAAATGTTCTGTGGAAATAGCTAAAATGAAAACACCATTGTATCTGTAATACTGACCTTCAATTAGCCCCAAACCCAAAGGATTAGAAATGTATCCCCCCACTATGCTAGCTAACCATACTGGAAAGAGAAATTATTCTCCCAGACTTCTAATTTCCTGGAGGACTCCAGTGAGCACAGCACACAGTAACTTGTTAGTATTCAACTCAAAGAGTAATTTATTAAGAATTATTTTCTGTTCATATCAAAATCTGGCTGACATTTTGTTAGTGGAGTGGGGCTGCTTCTTAGCACCTGCCCTGCTTTTTCCAAGCAAGGGGCACCACGGCCACTGTTTAAAATGTGACTGCTCTGAGCCAAAGGTCTTCTTGACTCCACCTCGCCTTCACAGTTTCTTTGTTGGTGTCTCTGTGGGGCTCATGGACTGGAGCCAGTGATCTGCTGTGGCAGGGGTAAAAAAAAAAATACAGTTCTATTGAGCTTGTGGAGATTTTAGCACCCATTCACTGGACCCTCTTAATAGTTGCTGGCCTGAGGATGAAAATGCAGCTGGGACCTTCCGCAGTGGCAGTGGTCACAGCCACTCTGCCACATGGGCCTATATCTGGTTCATATGCAAGGTTTCACATAGCCCAAATTTGTTTTTCAGGAGAAATAGTTTGTTAGGTTGTCAGAATTCAAACCTATTTTACTCTTCAAGCTCTTAAACACCTAAGACTCGCCATAGCCATTTGTACGCCCAGAGGAACCTGGAGTAGTGTCTGCCCTTGGAACTCAGTGAGGGTTGGGGCTCAGAGCAGGAGCTCCAAAGTTCACCTGCAGGATTCAGCTCAGCCCTGCCCCTTAGTACCTGGGCTTGGCCACGTGACTCGTCTGCTCTAGGCCTCAGCATCCTCACAAGGTTTCTGAGAAGGCTAAATGGATGCAGAGCTCTCATAACACTGTTTCACTTTGTGAGTCCCAGGGTAAGTTTTCTAAACAGTGACAATAGCAACAAAGTCAAACTCAGAGCCAGAGAGAATCACAGAAGTGACCTCCTCACCTTCCATATCTGAAAAATGAGACTCAGAGGTGCTTGATGTCTTATCTATGCTCTTCAGGTGGTTGGGAACAGAGCTGAGATGAGCATTTAAGCATATCTGACTCTGTGCAATGCTCTTTCTGCTACACACTGATTCAGAGACAGCCTTAGCCACAGGCATGGATTTCAGGTCTTTGCTGCAGTACTTTAAAGTTTCAGAAATGTCCTATGACAAGGACAGACATGAGAGGCAGTATTGCTTTGCCCCACTGGGACTTCACTTACTGCTTTAGGAATTATTTTTTTTAAAGCCAAAAGTGAGTGCACATAGGTCAGTAACAGTGGTTCAAGGACAAGTGAACCACTCCAGGAAGCCCAAGGAAGTTATCTGTAGGGTGTGTGTGGACAGCCTAGAGCTGGTCAGCTGAAATTCACGTTGTACATTCTGTGTCCTTCCAGAGAGCCCTGCTGATGAAGAGGAACAGTGGTCAGATGACTTTGTAAGTATTCATTCCTGGGATTGAGCAAGAAGGTACAAGGATGCATGGGAGCCTTTTGTAGGGCTCGTTTCTGAACTACATTTCGGTCAGCTGAGAATCCCAGAGGAGACAGAACAGACAGGGCTGGGCAGGGCAGCAGTAATCCCATAATGGCTGATGACCAAGCATGACCTGATGTCAGGCTAAAAACTTTACTGCATTACCTTATTTAATTTCCACCACAGCCCCACGAGGTAGGTATTCATGTCCCATCCTCAGGGCTGGAATTCACAGTACTCAGCAGCAGAGCTATGTATATATTAAAATATTTCCATGTCATTTGGCAAATGCCTCTGCCTTAAACTCTCCAGTGCTCTATCGCCTCCTGACTCCTAGGAAGGAGCCTCAAACAAACAAAGAATTAGTACCTGGCACAAGAAGGTGTCTCCAGAACCAGGCACTGGAAGTTTAAGTAACTTGCACTTCCAAATTCAAACCCAGGTCCCCAGTTCTCAGAGTCAGACTCTTTACTCTAAAGTGCTTGCTGTGGTCAGAGCATTAGTAGAGCTCTGAGGGTCACGAAGTGACAGAAAGAATTGGCCATGATAACATTTGGCAGTGTGTACCACAGTGAATCAACGACCTCCTAGAGGCATCTCCATGGTCCTCAGGGCTCCTACAGTCACTTATTTCTTAGACTGAGTCTCATAAGGTATTCTAAAAATCTTTTTCTTCACAATGATTATTCTTTGGTTTTACTACATTTGTCCAGAATATTAGCCTGCTCCAATCTGAGCTTTAGATTTGAAAGAGATCCAAAAGGTTGCTCACCCAAAGACATACCCAATTCACAGATAAACAAACTGAGGCCAAGATAATGGCCAGTACTTTCCCAGTTACTCAGATCTCAGTGACCAGTGGAATGAGGCACACATAGACTTTCAGCCAGTGCCTAGAGTTGAACCTGAGCCCATCTCCAGGCTGTGTACCCCATCCTGAGTTTATACAGTTTTAGGAAACAGAAACAGAAGAAAAAATGAAGAGACCCTGATCTCTCTGCCAGCCACTTGGACGTGAAGTTCCTCCTAGGGCCCAGCAGCTATTGATCCCCAGAAGCGCTGCAGCTGCGCCCTCTGCTGGCCACAGCTCAGGGACATAGTTGCCACAAGAAGAGGCAGGGAAGTCTCTCTCCGTTTCTCCATCTCTCTATTTCTCCAAAGGCAAGAACAGAAAATGAGCTTGTTCCTAAATAAAAAGGGCACATAGTGGGAATTTAGAAGACACAAAGTAAAATCACCCTGGAGAGGAGGAAATAACTTTCCCCAAAGGCAAACAGCCAACCCTTAGGATTGTGTGAACAGTCACTATTATTTTTACTTCATGAGATCTCCACTGCACGTAAACTGAAATGCAGACTTGTTTCTAAGCCTCCAGGTCTGAACTGTTATAAAACTGAAGGTGGAATGAGACAGGCCGAAAAGCAAGAGCCACATTCATTCCTGGGAGGCCATGTGTGGATGAGGCGTGTGACAGGAGTGTGTGCGGGCAGTGCAGCAGAGGTCAGAAGACCCATGTCCTCAGGCAGACTAGTGCATGCAGGAAGCGCACACACACAGGTGCCTGGCAAACAGGCACAGAAGCTGTCGTACTGCATCTGGGGAGAGGAGTTGAAAGGTTGAAAAATTTCACCTTCCCCAGTTTTATTTTTAAAATAAACTAAAACAGAGGGTAAATTCTCCGTGAATTTCAAGCCTGGCCTCGGCCCCTCAGCTTACCAGCTCTGCTTATAAAAAAGCAATGCTCTGTCCTGAAGGGAGCCCCTCTCCTGCTATTATACCAACATTTTCCTTAGCTGTCGGTATTCATGGTAAATAAAACTTATTGGTTATTGGATCTTTTAAATATCCTTTTAAAACGCATTTTATCATCTCCTGTTCTTTGTCCACATGCAGTTTCAGGCACTCTCGGGGTTAAAGAGTGCACACACTCCCCTAGATGCTGCAGAGGTCAGAGGCAGGAAGGCTTGCCTCAAAGTCAAGCTTTGCTTCTCTTGAGACACCTAACCAACCTCCCCCAGCCTTGGCGTCCTGATCACAGCACCGGGGAACTGCACTCCCTAAGCTCCTCCTAAGACTGGAACTGTCCTGCCGATAAGAAGCACGGACAGGGATGCTGAATGTGGTGTCTGTGTTTTCAGGACAGTGACTATGAAAATCCAGACGATCACTCAGACTCCGAGATGTATGTGATGCCTGCCGAGGAGAACGGGGATGATAGCTATGAGCCACCTCCAGCTGAGCAGGAGACGAGGACGGTTCACCCAGCCCTGCCCTTCTCCAGGGATGAATATGTGGGTGAGGCCATCCCCAGACACTGCACCTTCTGCCTGTTGCGCCTGCGGGAAAGGGGGAGGCAAACTCGCTGCTGCCCAAGGGCCCACTTCCTGTCTCCCATGCTCAGTGCTCCAAGCAAGTTGGCAGGGTGCTCATAGCTAATAGACCCAAAGCAGTAAAACTTCCCCATTCCAGGGGCAAAGTAACTTTGCTACATCAGGAACACTGACAGCAGACAAAAATTAATTAGAAATTAAATAATAAAGCACACCTGATAGTCCCATGAGAAGTCAGCCCCAAGATTAGTGTCCATTTTCCTCAGGGCTTTTTGCACACAAGGTTCTGGAATTTCTTTTAAGAAGTCTCTACATGACATTGATGACCTCCAAGAATCCCTGGGGTGACTCAGCCACCAGCCCTTTGCCTACGCTGCATCTAAACTAGAGTTTCACCTAGGCGTTGGGTGCTGGTGAGGAGGTCTAGACCTGGAATTAGTATCATAGGTCAAATTGACACAGCTCAGGTAACACTTTAAGGGCTGGCTCTGCCTTTTATTGCCCATCAAAAAGGAACATGTGTCCTATTTAGCAGGTGACTAAATTCTCCAAAAGTGAAGAGAGCAAGTGTGTCCAAGTTGCTCAGTACAGAGTGTTCCTATCAGTGAGGCCTCCATCTGTCCTCCTGCCCTAGCTGCTTCTGTGTCTGGTACCTAGTACTGCTTGTTGTTTCAGTCCACAGTTGATCTATTGAGCACCTACTAGGTGTCAGAACTGTATATTAAGCAATGAGCATTCAGCACCAAGGAACATGTACAGACATCATCCTCAGTCCTGAAAGGAGGAAGTGAGTCCCAGAGAGGTTGAATAACCAGCCCAAACTGGTGCAGCTCATGAGTGGTAGAGCCGTGGGCAGAACCCAAAGTCATTCAGCTTCAGAGCCTAAACTCCTTCTCAGCCCAATACCCCCTGAGAAAGAGGGTGTGGGCCATTGGGAGTGAGAGGCAGGTGTCACAGATTCCTAGGCCAAAAAAGGAGTTCACAGATTCCCCCATAAATTGGAGAAATCATTGATGCTGAAGGAACATGCATGTTGACCCAGATGCATAATCACTACCCTGGATACACCTGAAAATCACTGGGGGAACTTTTTAGACCTGGAGCACTAGAGCCTGCCCAGAAGTTCAAATATAGTAGGTATGGGGTGAGGTCCAGGCCTGGGCATTTTTAAAGCCCCCTAGTGGCTACAATGGATAAACCAGGCTGAGATTCACTGCCCTTCAGAGTTCATGAAGCCGTCCACACACACTCTCTTAGACCCCATGCTATTTCTGTCCATTGCATTCCAATGAAGATATCCTTCCGAGTTTTATCATGTAAGCCAGTGGACAGTTGAAACTATCTGCCTAGTATTTTGGTTTTGCTCTTCGAGAGAATGCCCCACTGATCATTTGTAGCTACACAGATGCCAGTGTCTATGTTTTCTAGATCCCCATGATTTCCACACCTGGAATGACTCAGAGCATCTTACGTTGTTTTTTGTTTGTTAAAGACAACCGGTCAAGCCAGAGGCAGTTTCCACTCTTCAGCAAGACTCTTCCCACTAAGCCCAGCTGGCCCTCGGCAAAAACAAGGATCTCTTCCACTCTACCAGCCCCAAGGGCTCTGCCCAAGCCTCAAGTTCCACCCAAGCCCAGAGACCTTCAAGATGAGGTAAATTAACCTGCCCTCAAGGCTTCCCAGAACCCAGAGGGAAAGAAGGAAGTGGCTGGGACCATCTCCTTGCAGCAAGCCTGCCTTATTCCAGATCCCGCTCCTTGACTGTCCCCCTCAAACCCTCCAGCGTTAGACTGGAAGATTTTGTTTTCCCAAAAAAAACAACATACAGCTTTACTTTAAGTGTCTTAATCCTCTAGAGGAATATTGTGTAATGTTAGTACCGAGTCTGTTCATTTCCTGTTACCCTCTGTTCTTCCTCCCTTGGATTTGCTGTGAATCTTTTCTTTCTACCAAAAGATCATCTTCCACTGTCTGTACCCTCCGTGCCTCTTGACCCTACTCCTGCCTTGCTTTCTTTCCTCTGCCTTGTTTTCTCTCTGTGATTCCAGTTGCTGCTTGTCAGAGCGGAAGGGTGATGTGGGACATGTCCTAGTCTGGGGAAGACCCTGTGTGCCTCATGAGGAGCTCACCTCTCATTTCCCTCTGACAACTAGCACACCTTTTCCACCTCTAGGTACCCAGACACTCTCTCATGGTGATCTCATCAATCTCTCCTTTATCCGTGCCTACTTTTATGAATATTTCCTTGGGAATTGCTGCCCTTTGAGAATGAACAGATGAACTCATTCACCCTGGTACAGTGATGGATGCTGAAGCCTGTTTCATGGATTCTGGAGTATTTGACCTTTAAATGAGGACAAATACAAGCCTGAAGCCAACCATTAGGACAGCCTGACAAGTGCAATGGCCTGAGAACACTTAATCATCATAATGCATAATTATCGCTGCTTCTCTAAGGAATAACTCGTCTCTAAGTGCCTAAGTGATACAACTATGGCTTCCATATCTTGTTCATGACATCACCTTGATATAAGTTGTATTTGGCAAGACATGGAAAAGCAGAACTTTTAAATCAAAACAGGGGCATCATCTAGGCCCAAATTTCTGATTTGATCTTTCTACCTCTGTGATTTTGGGCAGCGAGTAACTGCTGGTTATTTTGAGGATTTAATAAGAGGCACATACACAGCACTGAATGCTGAGCCTGACACACAGAAGAGGCTGAATATCTGCTAGGTTCATTTTTACAGAAATCCTGTTGTCTCATCTGTCCTGAAGACCAAGGCCCTGGAGGCTGCCAGCCATGGCCTCAGAGCTCCTGAACCTTCCAGCAGACTTCTGGCTCTGCTGTGAGTCCCTGGCCCTTTTCCTCTGTCAGAGTCCCCACCAGTCCTACAGTGCACACATCACTCTGCACTTGCTTCCTATTCCTGTACCTGCGTGCCTCTGAACACATCTCAGTTTGTGACACCTGCTCTAGGGACAACATAAGGTAGAAAGTCCGCAGACTCAGAGGGAGAAGGTGTGGTTTGTCAGTCTTCAGTCTGTCAGCCTGAAAGGTGGTGATGTCTTTTCAAGGTGGGACCAGGGTGATGAGAGGAGCTAAGCATGGAATAAATAAATTTGCTAGGGTCTCACTGCAAATTCTAGCAGCAGTGGTCAAATACATAGAAAGACATGGTTTCAGACACAGAATGCAGTGCTTATGGTAGGTTTTCTTCATTTATGTGAAAAGAGAGAATGCAGTCCAATACGACAAGGCAGAGTTCTGTTAACAGCAGCCTGCAGGGTGGTGTGAGCAAGTCTGCACTAATGGGAGAGGAGAAGGATGAAAGAGGCTATTATTCTGGGTGGGCAGATGGAGAACCAAGATAAGAAAGAAGTTAAGAAAAAGGTGGTGGTGGGACAAGGACCAACATTCAAACGAGGCTGAACCATTAGATGGAAAAGGAAGTCAAATACAAACATACATAGAAGCTAAACAAAAATATTTAGAGGAAACAGTATTTCTGCTGGTGCTGCAAGTGGCTAACGGTTGACAAATGCCATGTATTAACTGACATTTGAGCATTTGGTAATACGAGCTTATTAAATCCTCATAACAACCCTGTGGAGTCAATACTCATTGCCATCTCCATTTTGTTGATGAGGACACCAAGGTGAAAATGGGTTAAAAAGATTTGTCCATGGTCACAGAGGGAACTGATAGAGCTGGTATTTGAACTCAGGTAATAAGATTTTGGAGCTTAGGTACTAAACAGCTACCCTGCATCAACCACATTTCCAACACACAATGAGGAGAGAACGGCTCTTCGTTCAACATTTACTTCCCTGGGGATTCTGGTGCTCATAACAGATCCCTTTTGTCTTTACAAGGCAGAGCAGGTCTGTGCTTAGAGGGCTTCATAATTGTGGTCTTTATGTGACTTCTGGACAGGTTACTCATCTGTCAAATCCCTCCACCATAAAATCAGGATAAATACTGTACACCTAACTTAGAGGGCAGGTATTACTGTAAGAAATCATTAAAATAATGCATATGAAACTATTAAATGCATATGTAAAACTATTAAATGCAAATGTGAATTGCATACAATAAGGAAAAAAACTTATGGGCACTGAATAGTTAACCAAAATGACTCAATAGATACATGGGTTACAGGGTAGTGGGCTAGTGAAAATAAGGTGAATTTGCATACTCCTGGTTTTGTAGCCTGAGAGGAGGAAACACACAAACAAGTATATTTTAATGCTGGGACATCTAAACACTGGCATTGACCCAAATGATTTCAGAAGAAATTATTTACTCACACTTTTTCACTACTCTGTTATAGAACTGAGGGGTTTTTAATACATGTAGGTTGGGGTAGTGAAAAGCTACCTGACTTTAAAAGATCAACTATTGAGGTTGCTACCATGAAGATTCTGTGATTTATTATTCATGGAATAATACAGTTTGTATTAGAACATTGCAGTGATGCAAACATGGGCTTGTTAGGATAAAAATTTTGATGGTTTTTGATTATTTATTTTGTCAATTTTATCAATTTTAAAGAATTGACCTGCAATGCTGGAAACAAACATATATTCCCTCTCTTTAAATCCCATCATAGAGAGAGGAGAACCACAAACAGAATTTGCTGGGACTGGATCAAGTCTTTTTTTCTACCATTGCTCTTTTAGAATAAAAAAAAAAACTCAGTTTCAGAAATATCATCATTTTAAATAAATCAGTTGCTAGATATTGCAGATAAAATAGTTCCTGTTGAAGGGGAAGAAAGAGATGGAAAATAGCAATTAAATGAAGAGAGGGCAGAAATAGGACAGAGGAGGGGAAGGATGCCAGGGACTAGAATGTGGTGGGTGAGGATGTGGATCATGACTTCTTGAGCTCTCTGGATCCAAATATCGATCTGTTACATTTCAAGTATGAGGTTTTGAGTCGGCTACTTTATTTTCTCTGTGCTTCAGTTTCTTCATTTTAAAATACATCTGATGATGTTGGCTTACTAGGTTAGTTATAAGAGCTAAATGAGATAATGTTTGTTTCTTGTTTCACCCAACATTCTTCTTATCTACCTAGCATGGAACATCGTAACATTCACTTTTAAGATCAGTTTTCCTTTTCTGTATTTTATTAATATAAAATCACTCATTCACAATATTCATGGTCAACTGATTATTGATAGGGTATTAAGATAATTCAATGAAGAATTATTTTTAAACAAGTAATGCTAGGAAAATTACATCAACACACAAAACAGGGAAATTGAAACCTCATCTCATACTATACACAATTTATCTAGACCTAAATGCAAGAGCTAAAAATATTACACCCTTAGAAAAAACATAAACAGAAATCTTCCTGGGCTTGAGTTAAACAGTGATTTATTCAATGCGACACCAAAAGTACAAGCAACGTAAGAAAAAAACAGGTAAAATGGACTTCAAAATTTAAAACTTTTCACCACAAATGATAGCATTAAGAAACCTACAGAATGGGAGAAAATTTTTACAACTCATACATTGTTAAAATACTTATATCTAGAACATATAAATGATTCCTGTAATTTGAGAATAGAAAAAAATAAATCACCTTCCACACCCTAAAAATAAACCTCAGGGATTGATATTCTAAATGGGTATGAATCACCTTGAGGAAGCCCCGAGTCGCCATCCTAATCCCCTACAGAAAGTCACTGCTCTTTAAGCATGCCCTCTTGCTAAGTGACTTACTTCCACATTTGTCTCTGACTTGGTCAATTTTACCTGAACAGTCAATCTTGTTGATTGACCATAGTTCTGTCCCACCTCATGCCCATCTGCCTTGTGAGTTCCCATGTTTTCTTCCATCTTGGATCCCTCTCACCTCATGGTTTTGTTCTATATAAGTCCCTAGAAAAGGCTGAGTCTTTGGCAACCCACTTGGAACCTCTTCTGTCTCTCTCCCAGACAGAAGCTTTCTTTGCTCAATAAATATATCCTGAGCTTAAAAATAAATAAATAAATATTTGAATAGACATTTCTCCAAAGATATGCAAATGGCCAATATGCACATGAAATAATACACAATATCATTAGTCATCAAGGAAACAGAAATCAAAACTACAATAAAATACCACTTCACACCGTTAGAGTGCCTATACTCAAAAAGACAGAAAATAGCAAGTATTGGTAAGTATGCAGAGAAACTGGAACCCCCATATGGTGCTGGTGGGAGTGGCAAATGGCAGTCATTTTGGAAATCAATTTGCCCACTGGTTAAGCTGCTGAATATGCAGTTACCACGTAACCCAAGGGTTTTACTTCTAGGTGTACTCCAAGAGAAAAGAAGGTCTATGCAAAAACATGAACATAAATGTTTATGGCTGCATTATTCATAACAGCCAAAAAGTAGAAACAATCCAAATGTCGGTCAGTTGATGGATGAATAAATGAAATTTGGTCTATTTATATAATACAATATTATTTGGCCATACAATGAAGAAGTGATGCATACAATATGGTAGAATCTTGAAAGCATCATCTAAGTCAAAGAAGACACAAAACATTAGATATTATAAGATCCCATTTATATGTAAAGTCTGGAAAGAACAAATTAGTGGTTGAAGAGGGCTGGTAGGGTATGACTAATAGGTATAAATTGTGTGGGGGTGGGTAATAAAAGTGTTCTAACAGTATATTGTGGTGAGGACTACACAACTTGGAATACAGTTGGCCCTTCATATTTGTAACTTAAACACCCATAGAGCCAGCCAACTCTGGATAGAAAATATTTTCACAGAGCTGTATCTACACTCTATAGACTTTTTTTTGTTATTATTCCCTAAAAAATATAACAACTATTTACTCAACATCCTAGGTATGTTAAGTAATCTAGAGATTAAAGTATACAAAAGGATATGCTTTGGTTATATTCAAATGCCATCCATTTAAAATATGGGATTTGAGTATTCATGGATTTTGGCACGCTTGAGTGAAGAGGTCCTAAAACAAACAAATACCTGTTAGACACTGAGAGAGGACTATATAGCAGAACACACCAAATTATAACTGTTACACATCTCATGGTATGTGAATTATATCTCAAAGCTTTTTTAAAAAAAACAACTCTTTCATACATTCATTCAGCTATGAATATATAAGTGTTCTCATAAATTTTTACATTCCCTTTAGGCTGATTATGTGATTCCTGTGGATGATAATGATGAAAACTACATTCACCCCACAGAAAGCAGTTCACTTCCATCTGAAAAAGGTAAGAGTGAGGTTTTAAGCTCCTGAAAACATCTAGCTATGATGGGGACACACCAGGCCTTCACTAGGGACTCAGAAATGACAGTGCCCAGGCTTCTCTCCTCTGAGCCCACAGCATATGCTTTGTGTGGTGGAGCAGGCATCAGTGAGCAAATCATTTCTGGATTGCACAGCCTTTCCTTTCTCTCCTTCCTCTTATGTGATGAAATACTGCCATATCAAATTACTAAAACACCCAGGTTATTATCTTCAGCTGCCCTCACTTAGAATAGATTTCTCATAAAACCCAATACAGAAATACAAGTCACCCTGTTGCCCTTATATAGTGCACCAGGAAGAGTTTCTGTGCGCTATAAACATTTTCACTATAAACATATTCTCTGCATTCTGGTTTTTTAAATTTTCTGGCATCTCAGGCTATGAGGAATGTTTCATTTGTAAATCTTACATGAGATAACAAATGCTATTACAGACAAATTATCTTAAAAAGGCCAGTGCCACATAGCTTCAGGCTGGACACTGAAATAGGATATGTTTACAGTTGCTACAGCAACACCTTGGAGAGGTTGCTACACCTTGGAGAATATAATCTCATGTAAGTGATGCATCTTCAGGTAATACTACTTAGATAAGACACTCATCGAATAAAGTTAGTAGTCATGAGCTTTTAATTCTGCTTTCATGTAGCAATGCTCTGCTGTACCCCCTAAAGTCACCGGCAGCTTCATCATCGACCTCAATTACCCACATATGCATTACTACAAAACAGCACATATGCGTTACCTTTTATCTCCCACCATATCCCATAGAATTTGTGAGTTGCCTGTGGAAGGAAGAGGGCATGGGACTATTAATTTGGCCCTTCTCCACGCTTAGCTTCAATATATTTCTCTCCATAAAAAACAAAACCAGACCTGTTATGTCCTAGGCCTCCAGTTTAGCAAATCACCAAGCAAATAATCACTATAACAAAATTCCTGTTGCAAAATAATTTGAATATTCCTGTGTTCTTCAATATATCCATTCTAAAAATTTCTTCTTAAAAGCCTTTTCTGAATTAATTATGTGTCTAATAATGGGAGATTATGCCATTCTTTGCAAATTGTTTCATCTATCATTTTTCTCTGCATAGAAATTTTTCTAAGTGGAGTAAATCTGTATCACTTATCTATATTTTTGGGTTTAAGCTCCCATGGTGAATAGATCGACTAAACCAAACAACTCCTCGAAATCAGCTTCTCCTTCAGGAACAGCTTCAGGTAAAGAATATATATGTTTTGGTTTGGTTTTTAATCCATTTTGAGATACAAAATTCAGATTAGATATAAAAAATAATCATTTATGTTTCCAAATTTGTTAGTAAATGGGAAGAGATGATTTATTCTCATTCTTATCTGCTCTCTGGCAGCACCTATGTGGAAGGGATCTTCACCCCTTGACCACTGGACTTTGTTATCCAACCTTGCTGAGCACTATGCTGGTTTCTCCTGTCTCCTTCTCCTGGTTCAGGATGTCCTCAGGGTTTGGTCCACAGCTGTCCTTTCTGAATATTATGGTTCTTAAAAGCTCGGAAGCTGAGCTATATAGACCAGGGTCCCCCCCAGGTACCAGAGCTATCGTCTTGAGCCTGTACTTCACTTCTCCAAGGATCAATTTTTCTTCTGGACAAGGAAACCATAGTTCCTACATGTGGCAGTAAAATTCTGAAGTTGTGACAGGGACTGTCTTCCCACAACACTTAACAGTCTGAGAATTACTTCTCACAGCTTTAAGTTTCACTCATTCTTACAGCTTTAGCTCCCACGTCTGAGCCAGTAATTGTCTGGTGTCCAGCCTTGACCTGGCTTTTGCCCTTGATCAACAGTCTGTCACTAGCCTCCCTTACTGGCATGCTGGTTCCTCCACACATGGTGGCCTCAGACACTGAGTCTCAAAGTTTCTATGCTCTCTCCAAAGCCCACTGTTTCTTTATCTGGAATTTGCCTTCTGTTTCTGTTGCCACAACCCTAGGCCAGGCTTACTTTGTCACCTCCATTCTTCTTGTCTGCCACCATCCCCCAACCACATTACCTGGCATGCTAGCTGCTCCACCTTGGCATGTTAAGGCCAGATAATTCTTTGTTTTGGGAACTTCCCTTTGCATTGTAGGATTTTCGTCAACATCCCTGGCCTCTCCCCACTATATTGCAGTTGAATCTACTGCATTTCCAATTTTTCCCTTGGAGTAGCCTAACCAAGAATTCCAAAAGCAAAGGATGTGGCAGTGAGGAATATTCCTGGTGTACCAGCGAAGGAGTTGTCCTACCCCAGCCACACTCTGGGTTGGCTTTGTCCAATAGCATTAGGAGGGCATGGCCCATGAGATAGAGGAATTGTTCTGCATCCAGCCTCGGTACCCACAAAACCCCTGCTCTATTTCCTTTATCTTCCCCGTCCTAAGAGAAGCAACAAGTGAACTGACCTACTTTCTCAGTCATGCCCCAGAAAACATTCTGAGGTCTTAGCTGAAGAGGAACATGCTGCCTAGGCTCAAACAGCCTTGATTTAAACCTCTGTCCTCTCTGAGACTCTGCTTTTCCTGTAGTTCATGAGGCTTAGAGAAAAAACAGTGCCTTTAAAGTGCTGCCAGCTCCCAGATGCTGTGGTGATCGATCACAGCAAGACAGTGAAACAAACAACCGTGTTCACTATGATCTTTTATGAGTTTCAATTTATATATAATAAAATTCATCCATTTTATGTGTACAACTTGATGACTTTTGTAAACCATTACATTTATAGAATAATTAGGTAGCCATCACCATATCCCAGGTTTAGAAACTTTCTATGCCTAGTCTATTCTCAATAGATCTTTTTTACAATATCCATTTTGCAACTCCAGCTCCAAGCAACCATTGGTCCATTTCCTGTTGCTATAGATTTTTCTCTTCTAAATAGATACAGTCATATACTGTTCTATCTTTTGCATCAGATTCCTTTCACCCAGCATAATGCTTCTGTCTCTCAAACCTTTTTGACCTGTCCTCAGCAATATTAGAGTTGGCTTATCCTTTAAAAATTTCACAGTTAGGGGACTGGGGATTTAGCTCAGTGGCATAAGCGCCTGCCTTGCAAGCAGGCAGTCGTGAGTTCGATCCCTGGTACCGATAAAAAGGAAAAAGACAAAAAAAAAAAAAAAAAAATTCACGTTATCCCACAATTTCATGACAGGCACTCCGAATTTGATAGGGTAAAAAGTGATGTCCCTATTTCAGGGAGAGGGTAACTGAGGTACAGTGGCTTATAAAAGGTCACCCAGCCAGTTTAGTGACAGACAACAAAGACAATGAGAACTTGTCTTCCAGACATAAGACTGTATGTTCTCCGCCAGGTCCCATCCCGAGCAGGGAGGCTTCCCTCTTCTCTGATTGCCAGAAGATATTTATGGAGACAGAAAGGAGAGAAAAGTGTGGACTAATTAGAAATATGAAGGAAAGGGAAGCTTAGTTTAAAAAAAAAAAACAGTCTAGGCGGTAGGTTTGACGAAGGTAACAGACCCAGACTGAGTGAGCCTTGACATTTAAGAAGAGAGAAGCCCCTGTGAGGAAATCAACCAGACATTTCTACTTCCTTATTTGCCAGACAAGATGTTTTCTTTTTTTAATCTTCCCTGAAACTGTCCCTTGAAATGTATGAGTCACCAAGGGTATTTTATCAGAGCCAATTTAAGCATTCAGTTTTATATGCCAGCTAAACTCGACTAGACCCATATTACATTTCGGTTCATTGTCACATACAGTGCAAAAATTCCAAATGTAGCCTCTTTTCCAAAACACTTTTAGAAATTACATATAGGACAGGTGGCCCATAAATAGGATGACATTGGAGGTTACCCCACTTCCAGGGTGCTGGGGAAATCAGACATACAGCATTGGGACCTCATACCCATGCTGCTGCCACCATCCGTGAGAGTTTAGGAAAATCAGTCCCGTGAGATGTCATGTGCGGATGGAGTGAGCTCTGACTGCATGCTGGGGGCCTCTACCAAAGTCCTTGATCATGAACTTTGCCATCTCTATTTTTCAATATTTTTTAGACTTTGTTCCCTTGCAGTGTTAAAATGAGAGGACCCAAAGGTGTACATGTCTTCCCTGTGTCTGAGAAGGAAGAGGCTGTGTTTGTCCCTCAGACCTCTTCCTCTGTGCCCACCATGGCCTTTAAGTACTTTACACAGACTAGCTTCTCAGTAACTCTTGGCAACTGATTGTTAATTTAGTGTTTACTTATGTGTGCTCTATCTCGAAAACTGCAGCAATATATACTGAGGTAACAGGGACAACCTGTGCTTAGGGTATTCCCCGTAAGTCCATTAGGAACTGTGCGCTTATCAATGTAGTAGATTCTTAAGAAAATCAAATAGTTTGATTTGACTCAGTGAGGAGCTTATCAAAGGCTTCCTTATATCACTGAGCAGTAACGTGTCAGCAGCCAAGCGTCTGCCTGAGAGGAAGCGATCTGCAGATGCCGAGGACCGGCTCTGGCCTCTCCTCTCCACGTCTGCCTTCGGACGCTGCAGCCTAGATCTACCTTGCCTCTCTCATAGCCTCCTTTATAATGATTGTCTGGATGTTATCTTTAGATAGGGGAAGAGAGGTTAAATGCAGGGTTCAAGGTCCTCCAGGTCCTTTGTATGACTTCAGAGGATGGAATTTGGGGAGTGGCCTTCTACTTGTCTTGATTTGTTCATTTGTGTCTTGGCCAAAGGCCCTGAGAATTTGGCAATAAATATCCTGAAGTGATGTGAGGTACAAGTACAACATTGAGGCAGGGCTAGGGATGAGCAACCTTTACTGTCTCTGGGGAACAGTGAGTTTTAGCCTTTAGCGTTTAGTGTTTAGCTTTTAGTGTGGCCACATTGGTACTGTGCATGCAGATGGTGCAGGTGTGAGCTCACCTCCCCGAAACCCCAGAATCAAGGGCTTGGGCATGCCCCATGGGTGTGAGGATGAGGGCCTTTAGAAATGTTAGTATGGAGTTTTAGATCTTTGTCTTAGTTGTGATCTTACACATTGATGTTTGAAAACTGTATCATCACCTGTGCCCACAATTTTCTGCCACAGCCTCAGTGTAACTAGCTATACACATTTAACCGAAAGCAAAATCACATTGTTTGTATGTCTCTGAGTCTGTCAGAAAGCCTCACTGAGACCACCATCCACAGGAGCAGAACAGGGAATGACCTGCGTGTGTGTTTGTGCAGGTCGAAACAGCGGGGTCTGGGAATGCAAGTCACCTTCATCTGCTGCACCATCCCCACGGCCAAGGGCGGGGTGAGTATCTGCTGTGGGCAGAGGCTCAGTGACATTAAAACGGATGGAATGGTGGGCACCTGCTGCCCTGCAGATTCCCATTAGAAATCCTCCACCCCTATGGCAGTCTGAACAATGGCCCAGATGAACCCCTGTTGAAATCAGAATCTAGGGGTCTTCCTTTCTTTAGGGCTTTAGTTAAATCTTGGACTTACTACTTAGTGTTCCACACAACATCCTAATTTTCAGAAGCACTAGTACCTAAATAGTTTCAAAACTACCTAACAGGTTTCATTTTCACTTTCTACTCCTTGGCCCTTTAAATAAATGGGCATACCATTTATAGCATACACTAGGGTACATGGTCAAAATAATCCTGCTGAAGCTTCTGTCCATAGTGATAAGGAAGAGTTGTTCTTTCTTCCAGAATCTAAAAGGGCTGTGTATGCTGTCAGGTGAGGATTATTGTGTTAAAATTATACATACTGGTCTACATAAAATTACATTGGTTTAATAGGTTATTTTAAAAACATATATAAATATGTCTAAATCTGGTTTGCATAATTATAATCTTAATTCTGCCCCTGTGGAAACCCATGAAAGCAATAATTTCACAGTTTATTAACCAAAACCATGCATATCTCTCATGGCTCAGCTTTATCATTTGAAGTAAGTTACTTAGTTTCTCTAAGCCTCAGTGGTAATATCCATTTTAAAGGATCATTTTATTTTATTTTTTAAATTTTATTTTAAAGAGAATAAAATCAAGCAAAACCAAACAGAATAAAGCCAATCAAAATAAGACTGTGTAAATGACACAGGACTTAAAAACAAGGTAATAGGAAATCAACAATGGTTACCATGCCTCTTATTGTCTTCAAAATGGCTGCCTCAGACATAGCAAAATCAAACAAATCAGAACAGAATAGAACCAATAAAAACAAAACAATGAATGCAATACAGGACTTCAGAACAAGACAATAGTAAATTCAAAATGGCTACCATAATAATATATCTTGTTTCTTAATTTTTTTTTTAATTGGTACCGGGGATTGAACTCACAACCGCGTATTTGCAAGGCAGGAACTTATGCCACTGAGCTAAACCCCCAGCCCAATAATATATCTTGTTATCTTTGAAACAGCTGCCCATGCCATCAGATATAATAAAGTCAAACAAGATAAAACATAATAAAACCCAACCAAATAGTGAGAGCGATACAGGATCTTGATACAAGATAATAGAGAATTAACAATGGCTACCACTTTCAGAAGGAGATCACCCATATATGCTACACTGCATATTGTTATCCTCTTACCAATGATTAGACTACTGGTTTAAGCCTGCAAAGTCCGTGAAACACTAAACACTACAAGAGTTAAGCTGTATTTTAGCTCATTATCTATCAGCACAGCCTGTGTTTCTCTAGATCAGCTGGTTGCTCATGGAAGTGGGAGGTGTGGGTGGGGAACACTGGCTCTTCTTGTCTCTCTGCCTGCATGCCAGAAAGGTCTGGTGTCTGGCTTTCTCCCTGCCAGCAGGCACATGGCGCTGACTCACAAGAGATCTTAGCTTCTTGTTGACTTCTTGTTCACCTCTCCCGCAGTTTGCAAATGGTGCCAACTCACAGGAGAGGGCTTTTGTCTGACTCTCCCCTAATAAGCCTGCACATGGTGCTCTCTTTCTTTTCTTTTCTTTTCTTTTCTTTTCTTTTAAGAGGATAAAACCAAGAAAAATAAAACAGAATAAGACCAATCAAGATAAACTAGTATAAGTGATACAGATCTTCAAAACCTTACTAAATCAGCAATAATTATCATAATACTTTTGGTTGTCCTCAAAATAGTTGCAGATACCTTCAGACATAGTAAAAATTGAACAGAACAGAATAGAAACAATAAAAACGAAACAATGAATGCAATAAAGGACTTCAAAATAAGCTAATAGTAAATCCAAAATGGCTATCATAATATATCTTGCTATCTTTTAAGTAGCTGCTCATGCCATCAGATTTAACATAATCAAACAAAACAAAAGAAATAAAACCCAACCCAAGAGAACAATGAAAATGCTATAGTTTCCAGGTGGGGATAACCTCCTTGTGAGGCCTGGTTCTCTCACCTCACAATCCATGAATGGCGCTGATTCACTTAGAGAGGTTTGGGTCTGGCTGTCCCCATTCTGGCAGTGATCCAAACTTGGCACTGGTTTCCAGGCTGGGATCACCTCCTTGTGATGCCGAATAGTGCTGACTCTTAAAGGATTATTTTAAAAGATTTAAATAACTGCAAAGATCCAGTTCCAAAAATCTCATTTGCTCTCAGTAAATCAAAAGTTTAAAACATTTCAACTCTCTGACAGAAATATAGTGAGAGATACAGAAGGGGGAAGGGAGGGAAGGAGGGAGGGAGAGGTAGAGAGGAAGAGGGAGAGACAGAGAGAATTGAAAATACCAAAAAGAAGCATAAAACCTTAGCAATATTAGATTCCGGACTATGTTGGAAGCAAGACAAACAGTAACATTAGCGGAGGAAAGGACCTTCAAGACCACAAGTCACATGGGTTTCAAACTCCTTTGGCCTCGGATCCCGTCAGATGAAATCTTAGACAGGTGTTTAGTAAAGAATAATCACTTCGATGCAGGGCAGAAATTGATCCTGCAGAAGGTGGTAGTGGCTGAAACTCACTTGATTAGCTGTCTCTCACCTCGACTCGTGCCCTGGGCAGGAGCCTAGATTGCTATCGGGAAAGAGGAGGATACATATACACTTTGAAAACATGCTCTAGGTCCTGATTTCACAAGTGAGAAAACAAAAGGTCAGACTTGCCTCACAGCCAAAAGAAAGGACCAGAGCTCACCAAATAATTAGTAGAACTGAAGGAAGAGCTAGATCCACTGACCCTGGTAACTGGGCTCTTGCTTATCTCCTGTTAACCCCTCCCCATCTGTCAGTGAGTTCTTCTGGGGCTAAATCCTACTTCCATCCATATTTGCCTTTGAAGGATGGTCTTCCTCCCTACTTGTGCCTCTTTCATTATTCTCTTTACATCTGAGAGTAAGGTAAGTCAGCTCCACTTCATTGTCCTTGTGCTTTAACACAGCGCATCTCTTTTTATTTCCCAGGAAAGTAACAGCTACACCACTGAAGACAGTAAGTTATCATTCATTTAAAAACGCTCCCTATTTCTTATAGTTTTTTCTTATCCATTTCTTTGAAGTTGAAAATGCTTCTAGCTATTTTGAGCACAGAAATCTTAGTGACTGAAGCTGCTTGCTCTGACACTCCAGAGGAACTTTGAGTCCTCAGGCAGCCAGGAAGGTGCTACCTGAGAGAAGCTTGTCTTTGTGCATCCTGGTGGCTTCATTGTGTACAACTGATCAGATGAAAGCAGCCAGGCTCCCTGTCTCCCACCACCTCTGTGGGTACCTCTGCATTCATTTCCTGCCCCATGATTCCTGAGCCTCTGTTCAGACACAGAGACTCAGAATAAACTCAGATTCTGGCCAGAACTGCAAGGCAGACCACCTGACCCTATTGTGGAATTTGAAATTGACAATCATTTAGCAAGCCCGCACAAGGCAGAGTCATGAGACCAAAGTCATATATATACCAGGTATCCACTGCACTACTACTAGCTAGCTTCTGGGAGACACAGTATTCAATAACTCTGCTGACAGCAGAAAGGGCCCCACACCAGGATGACACTGTTCTTTCTATGAGGCATTTCCAGCCAGTTAACAGTTCATGTAGACTTTGGGCTGGGAACTATGCATTTTTAATTGCTCTTGTTACAACGTGGAAGAATAGCTATGCATCAAAGAAAACTGCCGAAATATGTATTTAATAAATTGCTTGGACTTTTACTTCCATTTTCCACTATATTTAATATCTTTGTCTTTTTCTTAAAATAGACTGTGGTTGCTTCTCATAAGAATGCATCAAGCGTTTCTGAAGGTAAATGTATTATTTTAAAGGGTGAGTATCTCTGAAAATAATGTAAATATATGTAAATGTAATTTTGAATTTCTTTCATTATTTATAAAGCAATTATAAACATAAATCGAATTTTCTAAACAAAATAGTCTTTCACTTTGCAATGAGAAGTGTGAGTAACAAACCTAAGAAACTGAGCATAGTGGGTAGGAGCAGACTGTCCTCCATCTACCTGCTCATTTCAGATAGCTCTAATTGGCCAGAAAGCAGAGCTATGGTCCGGGACCGGTCTGAAGGTTGATTCACATATCTTTGAACTAAATTTTAGACAAGACAACGTCTTTTTTAAAACTCTGTTTATTTAAGCAAATTATTTTAAATTCTTTTAAATTTAACAAATTCTGTTAAGTTTTCAAAGTTCAAATGTCTGTCTTTTGAGTACATCTTCAAAACTCTTTTATATCTTTTAAATCAGACACTTAACATTATTTTTATAACTTCCTCATTTAAAAAGTATTAATATTTAAAAAATATTTACTGGGGGAAAAAGAGAAAGAAGTTAAATCATACATAATATCAACACTCAAAATGTTATGTAGATACTCAAGTCCTGCATCCATTTAATTCCACACTTGAAGGTACCAATGTTAAAAATGGGAATGTTTGCACCATTTCCTAAGTTAATGTGATCACGCTGACACAGGAGTTGCTGGGTTTTCTGAGGAGGGGTCTTTTCTGATTCACTGAGTATGCACTACAGTTCACCTCTGTCCTTCAATTGCCCCATTACATTTTTTCCACCCCACTTCCCATATCTTTTCCTCCCAGGTTATTATTTCTGAGGTATCCCTTCTTTTTGCTGCTTTGTTTTCTTCTTCCTTAGTTCACATGGACATTCCATGCATTTGTTGCATGTCCTTCCATTCCTTGCAGTTCTTCTCCCTGGTAAGCAGGAAGCATAGAGCCATAGAGACCTCAGGGCTTCTAAACTTGTTGGAAATAAACACAACTTCTGCAAAGATCATTGCTTTGGCACTTCCAAAAGCTAGGCAAGAGTGAGGCTTACGGAATGCCTGCAGTTGGGGTGTCCTCCTTTGCTCCCTTTTTTGGTACTTATTTCAAGAGTAGAGGGAGTGACTCACTAACCCAAAGAAAGGGAGCTGCTTTCTCTCACTTCAAGGAAAGACTTCAAGAAGGGCTGGCAGAGGCAGTGCAAAGTTCAAAGTTCAAAGGTTGTTGGACCTAATTTGGTCATTGTCTGTCATTTGCAAGTTAACAAGGTTACAAGGTGGGTCGTTACTGCTGTTTTGTGCTACTGGGAATCAAACCCAGGCCTTGCCCATGCTAGGCAGGTGTTCTAACACTGAGCTACACCTCCAACCTGAAGTTACCAAATTTTTAAAGAGATGAGCAGAACATTTAACATGGCATCTGAAAGTAACCGGCCACACATTTGAAACATAATCCTGTGAGCTTCATAGCTTTCAAACCTAGGATTTCATCCTAGGAAGTATACCACAATAAACTGAAACTTATCTTACTACTCACAGTATTTGAATCCACGTTCTTACTACGTTTGTTCTTTTTAGGTTTCTTTCCCTCTCAATCTTTATTCCATGTAGGCGACTCAGCATATACCAAGATTTTAATATATTTCCAGCCAGGAGAAAGAATAAAGCAGTAAAATCATTAGTGATCACATTTATTAATGGTTCAGAAGTAGCATCCTCCACAAGCTTCAACATCCATTTCTTACAGTTCAGACTTACGCACATTTTCCAACTTCTTCTCCTGCACTTCGGAAAATAGTGAAAGACAGTGAAAATGGCTTTATGATAAGCATAATCTTATAATTTTTCAAATTCAAAGGTAACCAAAATTTTTCAAAAAAAGAGCAGATCTCTGTTATTTTATCTATCAGTAATGATTTTCTTAAAATATGTCTTATGATTAATAAAGACATATCAGTGTATAATAACACCCGACGGAAGGCTATGTGGAAAGTAGAAGGAAAAATAAAATTTGGGCCAAGGATATAGCTCATTGGTGCAACACTCGCCTAGCAAGGACAAGGTCATGAATTTGATGCAAAAAAAAAAAAAAAAAAAAAAGGAAGTGGAAGATGAGTGTGTAAAGGGTAGCTGAGAGTTGTCCTGGCAAACACTGCTCACACTTAAAGCTCCAGCTCAGTAAGTTAGGATTCCATGTGCACTGCCATGAGATGTGCAGAGAGGTGCAACTGTAACTCTGCTGAGTGAAAATCCTGATCTAACAGCAGCTACACAACAGCAGATTGACAAGTACACACACTTGACAGAAGACGAATTTCCAGGAAGACCTCTGACCAACTTTGGTTCCACTTGATTGGTTTCACTGGGTTTAGGGTAGGGACAGACATTTTACTCTAATCCTAATGTAAGAATTTTCCTAATCCAGAAAGGCCCATACCTGCTGAACGCCATCGAGGGTCTAGTCACAGACAAGAAGGTGTGGTGTCACCAGTGTTTCCTCCTGCCCAGAAGTAAGACTCTTTTCTTTTATAAAGAAGCTTTCTTTTGTTATTGTGGGAATTAACGTGTGTTACACTGTATAGTGACATTAGCTTGTGAGGCTGAATAAAAATCCAGTATTTCATTGCTTTGTAAAAAGCATTAAGCAACTTCAACTGTGTTGAACTGCAGAGACTTACTATTAGGATTAGCTATTAAACTTAACCAAAATGTAACACCCTAGACAATTAGTCAAAACTAAGGAAAACAATAATACTTACCTCTAATGCATCTCTTATTTTTAGATTTTTCTTATTGGCCACTGATGTTGAGTCTGTTGTTTTGTGTCTGTTCTTTTTTTTCAGACAAATTCATCAAAAACCCATACCTCTGCCACGTAAGTACAGTGAGGTCACAAAGAGTAAAGCTGACAGACCTAGGTTCTGACATATCACTGTCACTTGCAGCTGTGTGGTTCTGGGGTCTTCTCTTGCCTGTTTCCCCATCTATAAGTTGGGACCAAAACTATTTATTTTGTAGAGTTGTTTTGGAAGGTAAATCAACTTCAAACAATTTTTAAACTTTAAAAAAAAATGTTGAGTTAATATTTTACTGGTCATCTCTTTAAAACAAAAAGCAATACAATTGTTATTAAAATAAGTAAAACAACATAGAGAAGTACCTAGTACAGTGGTTGGTACATAGGTCCTCAATAAAAAGCTATTTAATTTAAATCTAAAATACCTTTTTAAAAAACATGTCTATGAAAGGTATCCCAAAAAGAGGATAAAAGCAAATATCTGGATAATTGTCCTAAGGTTAAAAAAAAAACCTTAAAAAAATGTGTTAATCAGATAAGCCTGTTTTATAGAATGTAAGTTCCCCAAACTTCAATTTTTTTTCTATTCAATATAGAGAAAAAAGAGAAAACTACCTTGCATTTATATTTTCTAAACTCACTTTAAGTAAACTTTACTAACTGGTTTTTCTTTTAATTTTGACAATACAAAAGTAAAAATGATTTGGCTATAGAAGTTTATTTTTTTCATTGTTTCTAAGCTGTATTATATCTTTTATTGTTTTTCAACCCAAGTCATTTTTTCAATCATTACTGGTCATCTGCCTTATGTGAGGCACTTTTCCAGTCACAGGAAACACTGATTAATCAAAGACCCTGTCTTATGAAGTTACACTCTGAGGGAGACCAAAATACAAATAAACACACAGATAAACAATATCATATCAGGTAAATGCTAAAGAAAAACAGAGTGGGTGGTGGGCAATGGATGGCAGAGACTACCAGAGGCCATGATGGCTGTTGTTTTAGATGAGGTGAGCTGGGAAGGCCTCTTCTGTAAAATGAGGTACAATTGTTCCTCCCACAAAGAGCTAGGATGAGGACGAAATGAGCTAAACATGTTGAAAACAGCAGTACCTCACATATTTGGAGCTCTAAAAATGTCAGCCATGGGTAATCCTGCAACCGTCCAAATGCAGACCCCACCCTCCACCTGAACAGTGTGCCTCTCGAAGTGCAGCCACCCGTTTACCTTTGCTCCTCACACTGGGCAGTCCTTGCCCCCTGCTAGAAGCCACTCTTCTTTTAGTCCGTTTTGAGACAGCAGAAGCTGCCTTCTTTGAACATCCAGGGCACTCGTGCCTGGAGCCCTTTGTTCCCTCAAACTTAATTCTCCCACAGACTTCTCTGTCTTAACTCTGGACATCTCTGGTTGCTCTGGTCAGAAACCCGACAGTCACCTTGACTCCTCACTTGCCTTCTTGATACACCTTCCAGCTATTCCTTCAACTTGTACCCCAAATCCAGCTTGCCCCTTTCACACTGTGGTGCGTTGTAGGCTATCAGCATTGGCAAGAACACGGGACTGGCCTCTGTTCTCTGCTTCTGCCCCTTCCACTTCTAGTCTGGCACACAGAGTAGCCCTGTAACAAGCACGCAGGTCATGGCACTCCTCCGTTTAAATCCTCCAAAACTTTCAATGTTATGTTCATTAAAGCTGGCGTCCTAGTCAGAAACTGCAAATTCTAGGAATCTAATTGCAGAACCTTCTATTTAACTTCATCCCTTATTCTTGTCCCCTTTTCTCACTACGCTAGTTTCAGTGGTTCTTTTGCTGTTCTTAAAATACTCCAAATTCTTGCCCTGTTTTCTCTGAACATTCTTCCCAGAGATGTTCATATGCTTTCTCCCCCTCTACCCAAGTGGCGTCTCACTGAAGCTTTTCTTCCGTTTACTTTTCTCAGTAGCATTTATGATTCTCTAGCATTGTGTATATATTTACTTTTGTCTCTATCACTTAGTTCAACTCATTAAAATTCAGGATCCAGGAGGCAGGTTATTTTGTTGTTTTGCTTCCACTGTATATCCCCAGTACCTTGATCTACGGCAGCACACAAGAAAGAATGAATGAATATATTTTCTTTATTTACATTTTCTCTGTTTCTAATTCGTTATATCTTTTCTATTTCCTTTGTTTCTACATTTAAAATGTTAAAGTAGTTTAAAGAAAAGATTCTCAAATGCTCTGGCCTCAGGATCACTTTAACACTCTTAAAATCATTGTTGACCTAAAGAACTTGGGTTTATATGTTTCTTTCTATTGGCACATAGTGTATTAAGAATTAAAACTAGAACACTTACATTAACCATTAAAAATAATATTGAACTTACTACATGTTAACATAAATAGCATTTATGAGAAAAAAACGTATTTCCCAAAGAAAAACAATTTAGTGGGATGAGTGGCATTGTTTTGTAAATCATTTTTAATGTCTGGTGTAATAGACTGCTGGGTTCTCCTATTAGTTTTTAATTCAATCTGTTGCAGTATACCTTTATGGTTGAAATGTATGAAGAAAATCAGGTTTCACAGAGATAGATAATTGAAAAGAGTAACAACCTCTTGGAGATTCCCAGGGGTCCTCAGACCACAGTTTGGGAACCATAGTCTTAAGGCTACCTTTAGTTTGTTTGTCTGTACCACCCAGCACAGCAATGAGGCATAGGTATAGTAAATACACAAGAAACAGTGGAGATTAATTGACTTTTCAAACCACTTTTAGGATTTCCTGAAGGCGGGAGCTCAACTGTAGATGGGCCATCCTCTAGTTTTTCATCTAGTTCCACTTTTTCAGAACAGGTATGGTAGAAACTCTTTTTATTTTCTTTTCTCAGAATCAAGATCTTTAAATTGGTTCTTATAGTGCTTCACTTGTCTAATGTGGTTACAGATTGGTACATAAATGTTAGAGCATATTTGGTTTACAGAGATTTCTTATGAACTTAAAATGATTTCATTGGAGCCGGGGATTTAGCTCAGTGGCATAAGTGCTTGCCTAGCAAACGCGAAGTCATGAGTTCAATCCCCATACCAAAAAAAGAAAAAAAAATTTGATTTATACATCATGTTTCAGGTACATAGGTATGTAAAAATAGTTCACAAAATAATAAAGCTAAGCTCATGCTAGCCTGGGTCACTAGCTGTCCCTGTTACCCCAAGTGACTGCTATCAGTCAGTAGCTAGTTATCAAACAGTATGAACCATGGATCTCACTAAATTGTTACCATAAACTAAAGGAAAGGTCTTCTGAGTACAGAGTTTGGATGAAGGCTTAAGAATAGACCTTATAGCTTAAGGTAGTTTATGTACTGTCATTTGCTGAGGGATACAAAAATACTTATGTTTTTACAATGACTAAGACTCTCATTCCATTTATTCTAAGTTGTATTTCAGATGCCCTAAATAACAAGTATGTTACTCAAAAATAGCAAAGTAATGTGTTTTTTGTTGTTGTTTGTTTTTCTCTCACATAGATTTTATTTAAACTTTGTAATTTCCTCAGAATGTACCTGTTAAGAGGTTTGTGATATTGAAACACATAAAAGACATCATAGTTTAAGGAGCAAGAAATGATTCTGCCTGCACTTGAAGAGTCTCTCTGAGTTTACAGTGTTAGGGTTAGGGTTAGTGTTTTACATAAAAATGTGAAATGGAAATCATAGCATGTATCTTCTTACTTTCAAAGAAAGTGTGGTTCATTATTTGCAAGAATCAAATAAGATAATATTCATGAAATACTTTAGAGACTATGAAGCACCTCGAAAAAGCAACAAGAATAAGAATACAATGGAAGGAGAAACTGTAGTTTATTTAGGAGAAAGAATAAATGGTTTGAGAAACTAGTGGGATTTAGTTATGTTCAACCACTAAATTTAGCAGCTAAGCTCAAATAGGAAAGTGGCAGTGACAAAACCAGTGACTACTTGTCCCTGTTACCCCAGTTGACTGCTACCAGTAGCTAATATGGTTGGCCAAGGGAAGCACCAATTTCATTTTAATATTATAGTGCAAATATTGGTTCCTGTCTCCATCATGGAAATTGAGTCTTTGTTACCCGGGCACAGAAGTGCAAGAGTCCTTTAAAAAACAGCTCATGCCTAACAAAGCTTCTGTTTCCCAGGAAGCTGACCTCCACTATAAGCCATGGTATGCTGGTGCCTGCGACCGAAAGTCAGCTGAAGAGGCATTACACAGATCCAACAAGGTCTGATTGACTTTTAAGTTTCATTTTGTGCTCTCAGCCTGTAATAGCACAGCTGCTATCCTGATAAGTGCTAATTAAGCACCTATAACAATTATGGGTGCCGGGCTCTTTTCCTATATTTACTCAGGAGGAGCCATCATCATCCTCTTTGCTCTTTGTTTCCCCATCTCCTCTCTACTTGTCCTTTCATCTCAAGACTCCAGTGCCTCCCTTGCTCTCTGAAAAGAAGAAGTTTCTGGAAAGCTTGGTGCTACATAAGCTTCATCCAGAAATGAGCAGTGGCTGGCTATTTTCTTCCTCCCTTCTCACATTTTTATATATTTTTTAAAATTGCACCTTGGTCAGAATATATGACATTTACATAGTGTTTGTTCCTATTTTTATTTTAGTTCTAACTCCACAATTAAACAAATTAATGATGCCCATCTGTCCTTTGCTGGCTTTTCCAGTTGTTTCTTGTTTGATGAAGTGTACTTCTTGGGAATTCTCAGGTAGAACAGTGCTTACAATATACCTTGAGGCCTGGTGCATTAAAAGCTGTTTTGTTCATAGCCTGATATTTGGAGGAAATGCTAGCTGAATAGAAAGGCCTCGGGCTGAATTTTTAGACATTGAGTTGCTGGATTGCCTGGCTCTGTATGAGGCTCTTGAGAGCCTGATACTGATGTTACTTTCTTGCCCTTGCATATAATTTGATACTTTAGCCTGAAGGCACTGAAAAGTTGTTGTCCTCTTTTTCAAAGTATAATTTTGTTACCAGAATATGTCTCTAAGATTGTTCCAGGTTGATTTCTTCAGGTAGGCAGCCTTTTCAATACACAGATCTAAGTTTTCTCTTATATCCAATAGTTTTTCTTATAGTCTTAAAAGATAGTTCTAATCCATTCTTTTCTTTTTTTCTTCAAAGACTTGTATTACACATATTCTAGATCTTGTTTGTCATGCTTCATCTCATACACTCTATTGTACTTCTTTTATTAACTCTCATTTTAAAAAATATTTTGGTTGTTTTCACACCTTTCTTTAGTGTCATATACACAATATAAACACTATTTGAGGCTGGGTTAGTCCTTGGGAACCTTATTTCTTTATTTCTGAGATAAGTTTATTTTTCTTCAGTTTCTTTCTTGAGTCTGATCAACTCTGGCTGCAGTTCTTCGTGTTTGCTGTCCATTTTATCCATAATTTTTGAACTTAAAATTCTACAATACTTCTATAAAACATGCAATAAAAATTGGAATATTACATTATAGAGTGTTTTCTGCTTTAATGTATATTTTTTGGATAGAGAATTGTTGCCAACCAAAAGTTTTAATTCTTGACTTCTATCTTTTCACAGTACTTTTGAATGGAATTTACTTAATTATTTCATTCATAGGTAACTTGTGAATGTGGCTCCTAGTATGGGATTTTCTCTAGGTTTTAGCATATTGTGTGGCCTATTGCACATTTCTAAATCCTATAAAATTAACACTTTAGTTAACACATAGAAAAGTTAGTATTGACCTCACTCAGGATTTTTTATGAGCTATAAATTTTCTATATTTTACTGACCTATTTTCCTGGAAAGTAATAAAACAAACTCTAACCAAGAATAAAAAATACTGTAGCTAGGGAACATAGATATTCATAAATTGAATTTCTAGCCTATAGAAATATAAGCAAAACTAACTATAATTGTGCTTTTCTTTTATTGAACAGGATGGATCATTCCTTATTCGAAAAAGCTCGGGCCATGATTCCAAACAGCCATATACATTAGTTGTATTCTTTAATAAGCGAGTGTATAATATTCCAGTGCGATTTATTGAAGCAACAAAACAATATGCTTTGGGAAGAAAGAAAAATGGTGAAGAGGTCAGTAATTTCTCTTTTAATTCAGCTCTGTAACCATGCACTGAGCATAATGACATCAGATTGCATTAGTACTGCAGATAAAGAAAAGGGATACAAGAATACTTAGTCCTAGGCTTGCACACACTTCTTAAATAGAGTATAAGATATAATGCTATATTGGGAAAAATACTATATTGGGATAATATATCCTATAAGAAACAGCAAAGAAACACAAAAGGATGATGTGATATATGCCCTAATCCTTGCATCCAGTTACTTACTAAGGTCAAACTGACCTATAGTATTAGTCTAGGAGGCATCTAAGTTAAGGCTGAAATACTAAAGCTTTAAAAATCAAGGTCATGGTCTAGGGCACCAAAGATTTGGAATATCAACTCAGGTGCCAAGTTAGGAGACCAGGGAAGAAGCCAGAAGAGATGCAGAAGTTGATCTGAAACACTAGACAATGACTCTTGGACCAAAATGAGTTTATAGGCCTGTGGTATGAAAAAAAAAATCATGTAGGTCTTAAAAGTATCCACCAGATGCTAACTTCAGTGCCTCTTTAATCTGGATCAATATCAAAGTTTAGCATATCTCAGTTTAGCTAGCCTGTTCCCATAAATGAGCCCTGAAATAAGAACTGATATAATCCATGAATGGTCCAGAAAGAGTGATAGTTGTTCTGGTCCAAATGATGGGCTGAATTTGGGTCAGTATAATGAAAGTAAGAGGGAAAAATAAGTGTGGAATATAACCTAAGCAGAAAAACAGCATAAACAAAGTTCAAAGTAGGAAATACTTAACAGGGAGTAATGGTGCATACTATAAGTCAAGTCAATAGGCTGAGCAGAGGTTCACAAGTTTGCATCTAACCTGGGCAACTGAGCAACTTAGCAAAACCTGTACCAAAATAAAAATAAAGAAGGACTGAGGATGTAGCTCAGTGCAAAGGTTCTTGATTCAGTCCTTAGTGCTACAAAAACAAAAGCAACACCAACAGTGTACTTTTTTTCAATATTTTTTCAAAAGGAACCAAGTCTATTATCAGAAAGCACACTTGTTGAAAAGTGTTACAGTTAGCAAAGTGTCAGACTTCTACACTGGATAAAGAGAGCTACTATGTCTTGTTCATCTTTGCTCATCTTTTCAGAATGCTGAACATCCAAATGGGAAATGAAAATTCTGATTATGTGATATCAGTTGTGTCTATATTTTTTCGAGCATGTGAACTTTTAAAAAGTTTTTTTTATTTTATTAGTACATATTAGCAGTACACAATGTTTATGTTCCTTATTGATACATGTACATAACACATCTTAATTTCTTTTTTCAGCCCCTTCCCCTCCCTGCCTTCATCTTTTGATCTCCTTATGTAAGGAAGATCTATCTCCTTGTTACTTATTATCTATTCTTTATTTTGCTCTTTATTTATATTCTGGGCTTCTCATACAAGAGAAACATACAATATTTAATCTTGCATGTCTGATTTATTTCACTTAACATTATGGTTTCAAAGTGTATCCATTTTCCTACAAAGACTCAAGTTTATCTTTCTTTATGCCAGAGTAGCACTTCAAAAGGAACCTTTCTTCACTGTTGGTGGGAATGTAAACTAGTATTGCCACTAAGGAAATCAGTATGGAGATTCTTCAGAAAACTAAAAATAGAAATTCCATTGACCCAGCTGTTATCCTTCTAGGTATTTTCTCCTCAAAATTAAAGACATTATATTACAATGATACATGTATACTTGTGTTTATAATAGTGAAATATTGGAAGTGGCCTATGTGTCTACATTTTAAAAGTCCAAGTTGACATCTGTGCATATATGAGTTAGTAATGTAACCAGTTGATTCATTGTCTAACTTAGTTATTTTGGCACTGTATGATACACTATGGAGTAATTTTCTAGCTATACTAAAGTGACACTAAAGTGACAACTGCCACTTTAGTTTATTGGCCATGATGTTTGAGTTATGAAACGTTGATTTTCTGTGCATATATATCTCAAATACACTGAATTAATGTGAATAGAGAAAAACTGAGGGGAAACTTCAGTTAACTATGCCTAATTCATCTTTCTATTAAATTACAAATATCCCTAATTCCACTTCCTACTTCAAATGGTTCAAGTCCCTCCTAGAAACATTTCAGTCCCTAAATATTTAGTCCCCAAATATTCAAAGTCACAAATATTCAAAGCAATATTCAAAAAATATTCAGGCCCTGACTAAATATAATGTGTTGGTTATTAGTGTAAGTGTAGCAACTCTCTTCTGTGTGTCCTGAGTTCAAAACACATTGTTTTTACTTGGAATCCACTTCCGAGAAGTTGTGCTACTTCGGTTTCTGATCCTTTAGTCTACAAATTTAACTTCCAACTGCATTTGGTTGAATATCATGTTATACCAAACAAACAGAATAAAAATATCATGGGATCACCTGGGGCTGAATGACTGAAGAGGAAATAAGAAAGAAATAGTATTTGAAGGTTCCTTCTCTTTCCTCTTCCTCCTCTAAGAATATCCAGGTAGCTAAAAGATGACTGGTATTTCATTTGAAAAATGTGACCAATTTTATGAATATTTTACTTTATTAAATATGGAGATTTTTGGAAGGCTTTGAAACGATTAATTAAGGCTTCTTAAAATTTTTATTCCAAATGTTTGTCTTTATCTGAAAAATTAAGAGACAATAAAATATATTGATACTAATTACTAAATTCATGGCACATGGAACAATTACTGCTTTTAAAAATGATTCTGAATAGGGGTTGAGGATTTAGCTTAGTGGCATAAGCACCTGCCTTGCAAGCAGGCGGTCGTGAGTTCGATCCCTGGTACCGATTTAAAAAAAAAAGTTAGAAAAAAAATGATTCTGAATGCATTTACTCCGTGACTGTGAACCTGTAATACTTTGTATACTCAATGCGTTTCACTTCATAGTCTGTGTTACACTTAGTAGTCTTTCATTTTAAAACTTTGGTCACTTTTAAGAATAAAATTTGTTATATCCCTAAACTAAAACTCATAGAAATATGAAAAAATAAATATGTATGGTGAAAACCCAGCATGAAATTTCATTATTAATTAGGCAGTAAGTTAGTTCTAAGCTTACTAGTAGTCAAACATAGTTAGAAATATAAGAATTTATAAACCTTTTTTTACTTGTTCAAAAAAAAGAAAACAAAAGCAAAACATAAACTTATCTTAAAAATAACTTTTTCCCTAATACTAAATTCTGAGGTTAATTCTGTAGAGAATTTCACCATATAATAGTTTCATATTTGACTCTAAATATAAAGCAAATTTTAAAATATTATATCATAATTCCATGAAGTAATTTCTCGAAGCAGTTAAGCTTATAGAGCCTTTGAATGTGTTTTGAGTCTTACTAAATATACAAAAGTCCAGAATCTGCCACTCTGAAGATTATAGCCTTTGTAAAACTAGATTTTTGGGGAGCAGAATGTCATGTGGGACCCAACGGCCTATTCATTTGAGAAAGTAGAAGATGTGAACAGTAGAGCATGAAATTAACATAAATTTCAATGTCTAATTCATCTGTTTTTTCTCTCTCTAGTATTTTGGAAGTGTTGCTGAAATCATCAAGAATCATCAACACAGTCCCTTAGTTCTTATTGACAGTCAGAATAACACAAAAGATTCTACCAGACTGAAATATGCAGTTAATGTTTCATAAAAGAAAAAGAATGTCAGAGTAATTGCATCACACATTTTCTCTGAGCCTTTCCTCTTGAGAAAAGTCCCCAAACTTCATATTTTGGATTAGGAATTACAACTAATAAAATGGAACAACAAGGCAAATATTAAGGTAGACATCCACTCTTTTATAAGTTGCCTGCAGGAACTTCATCTGTTCGTTGTCTGACCTTATGAACTAATATCTGGGAAAGTTGAGTTCTCATAGTACTAGTATTCTCCAAATAAATGTATTGAAAAGAAACAGGTATAAAACATTTTCATCATATAAAAAATACTACGAATTATACTCTTGTATAAATAAATCTACTGGAAATTTAGGCCTCCACAATGGCCACTGGTACATGACTGTAGCTTGGCTATTTCAATGCTTGACAATTATGTTTTCTTTAAATATGCAAAAAATAAAATATAGGTAATATATGGTATTTGTAAATATAGATTAGTGGGTATAATAATTCTGTGTGTCTGTGTTTGTGTGTGTGTGTAGCCATGGGAAATTTAGCTAGAAATGAACTTTCTAAAAGTTCTCTAGGATTTCATTGTTATATTTGTTTATCAAAGATAATTGTAGCCATTCAAAGATCCAATGAAAAATGGGCATCTGAGATGATTACACACTTCTCAGTTGAAGAAATACAAATGGCAAATAAATACATGAAAAAATGTTCATCATCATTACTCATTAGAGAAATGCAAATTAAAACAACACTGAGATTCCATCTCACTCCAGAAAGAATGGCCAGGATCAAGAAAACTACCAACAACAAATGCTGGAGAGGCTGTGGGGGAAAAGTAACTCTCCTGCACTGTTGGAGGGAGTGTAGACTGGTGCAACCACTGTGGAGGTCAGTCTGGAGATTTCTCAGAAAGCTGGGATTGGAGGTCCCATTTGTTCCAGGTATCCTACTTCTAGACATATTCCCAGAACTGAAAACATCATACCACAGTGATATATGTGCACCCATGTTTATAGCAGCACCATTTGTAATAGGCAGATCTTGGAAACAACCTAAGTGTCCATCAACTGCAGAACGGATAAAAAAGTTGTGGTGTTTTTATGCAATGGAGTACTACTCAGCTATAAAGAATGATCACATTGAGATATTTATAAATAAATGGGCACAGCTTGAGACCAATACTCATAAGTGAAATAAATCAAACTCACATGTATAAATTCCGGATAGTTTCCCTAGTGTAAGAAATGTTAAGAATACATAAAAGTATGTGGTAAACATGATTCCCCATTATATTGCTTTGTAGCCTTATAATGTTTTCATTAATTGGAATGGTTCTATTCTGGATTGTTTGATTTTATTGCCTGTGATGGTGTGAATAGTTATTTTGAAGAAAATAAGACAATATAATACCTAGTGCTGATATAATATCATCTTATTTTGAAGGCCCATGAAGCTTTTTTTCTTCTGTCTCTATCAGTTTATCATGTTGTATCTTATTGGATTTTATTATATGTGATAATACAAAAATTTGTAAACAAAATTTTTTATAGACAAGGAGATAATATAGAAACCATTGTTCATTTTATGTTAGTTGTTTCTAAATACCCTGTAATACTTTCATTCTCTTGAATGGTTTTACACTGTCATGTTGTGTTTGATGCTATAATATATGAAGTTATACTCAAATATTTCAAGGAGACACTATGGTAGCTACTGTTATGTCGGGTTATCTTGTGGTGAAACACTATGTTGCCTAAATTGTTCTGTTCTGACCTGTGTTGTTATCTCCTCTTTTATCTTAATCTCCTTGTTTCTTTTAATTTAAAAAAAGATAATTATAACCTTTTTGATCTGCATGTGTATTAAATAGAATCTAAACTTGATTCAAAATAGGTTCAAAATAAGATGACAGCAAAATTAGGTGGTAAAGCTAATTCCCATAGAACAAGAGCAGAAAAACAGATATTGATGAACACTAAAAAAATATACAGTTGTGAGTGTTCATGTCCAAGGTCTTATATCAACTGAGAAATGTTTTGCTCTTTGTCATATCAAAGCCTTTCTCTTGCTGAGTATAACACTGAAATGATAAACCAGTTACTTAACGCTAGTAATTGGAAACACACTTGATTACTGAATAAGATAGTCTCAAAGCATTTTGAAAGAACATAAAGTGTTTCAAGCCCTAAAAGAAAATAACTTCCATCGCAGACTGATACATCCTGCAGAAGTATCTTTCAAACCTGATGGAACACTTCAAGGAAATTCATGACCACCAAACCAGCATTTATATCTCAAGAATATACTAGCAAGAGATAATGAAGCTAACAGTATCCTAAGCTCTAACAGAATCAATATACCAGGCAAGATGAGCAGTTAAGTAGGAGAGGAAAGAAAAAGAGAATCAGCAACAGAAAAATAATTCAATGACAGAAATAAGTCATATTTTTCCATATTAATTCTCAATGTCAGTGATCTCAATTTCCCCAAAGAGACATATTAGTGAGTGGATCAAATAACAAAACCCAATGATACGCAGTATATACGAAATACATTTAACCCAAAAGAAATTTCACATACTAAAATGAAAGACTAGAAAATAATAGTTCATGCAATGAGAACTCAAGAGAAAGCAGTAGTAGCTATGTTATTTTCACACAAAGTGAACATCAAGCCTAAACTCATCTGAAGAGATAAAGAAAGTCACTAAATACTGGTTTAAGAATTCAACAGGAAGAGACAACAATTATAAATATACATGCACCAAGCACTGGCAATTCATAAAACAAACCATTAGACAGACAATATCGGGCATCATCAACACAATTATAGTAGGGTACCTCACTGTCACAAATAGACCAAAAGTACTCAACAAAGAAATTTCAGATTTGTACCAAACCTCCATACACATAGATATCTACAGAGTGTTCTGCCCAACAACAGGACACACATTCTTCTCTGCAGCAGATAGAACTTTCTCCAAAATAGACTACCTCCGGGGGCTGGGGATTTAGCTCAGCGGCATAAGCACCTGCCTTGCAAGCAGGCAGTCGTGAGTTCGATCCCTGGTACCGATAAAAAGTTAAAAAAAGTTAAAAAAAAATGATCCAAAATAGACTACCTCCTAGCCAATAAAGATTGCTTAAGGAAATGCAAAAGAACTGACATTATCCCAGGTACATTATCAGATCATAATACAAAGACACTAGAAATCAAGGACAAAAGAGAACACAGAAATTATATAAGCTCATGGAAATTAAACAATACACTCTTGAATAACAAATAGGTTACAGAACAAATCAAGTAAAAAATTTGACAGTTTCTAGAATCAAATGACAAGACCAGTGCAATATACCAAAATTCATGGGTCTTAATGAAAGCAATCCTAAGAGGGAAGTTTATAGCTGTGAATACTTACATCAGAAAAAAGAGTGATCCCAATTAAATAACCTAATGATGCACCTCAAGGTCTGAGACAATCCAGAACAATCCAAATCCAAAGCTATTACAAGGAAGGAAATAATGATTAGAGAAGAAATTTGTGAAATTGGGACTAAAAAATAATGAATCAGAGAGCTGTTTCTTTGAAACAATAAACAAAATAGACAAATCCTTGTACAATATTACTAAGAAAGGAATGAAAATTCCCAATTCAATAATATTATATACGAAAAAGGAAAAATCATAATGGACACTTCTGCAATCCAGAAGATCATCTATAACAACTTTGAAATCCTGTACTCCACTAAACTGGAGAATTCAGAAGAACTATATAGATTCCTAGACATATATGAATTGCCAAAACTGACCCCCAAAATATGAAAATTTAATAATCCAATACCAAGCAATGAAATTGTGATAGTAATTTTTAAAAAACTTACCAACTAAGAAAAACCCAGGTCCTAATATATTCACTGCTGAATTCCGCAAGAATTTCAGGGAAGGGCTGCAGATATTGCTCACCAGCATAAATGCCTGCCTAACAAGTGTGAGGTCCTGAGTTTGATTTCCAGTACCAAAAAAAAAAAATTCATGGAAGATCTAAGCCCTACATATCTTCAACTGCTTTAATGAAATTGAAAGGAAAAAGTTCTTCCAAACTCATTTCTGAATATCAACATCACTTGTGATTCCAAAATGAGATAAAAACCACACTAAAGAAAATTACAAGCCAGTCTCCTTAATGAACACAGAAGCAGAAATCCTGAAACGATAATTGGCAAATGGAATGCAACAAGTCATCAAAAGGATCATATATCCTGACCAAGTAGGTTTCATTCCAGCAACAAATGGATGGTTCAACATATGTGAATCAGTAAATGTAATAAAGTAAGTCCCTGACTTACAAACATTCAAGTTGTAAAATTTCATTATGTGCTTTATAAGACTCATGTTTCTGGCTTACAAATGAATCTGACTTACAAACAATTCTCTTAGAACAGAACTTGTTTTTAAATCAGGGATTTACTGTACACCATAAATAGAAGCAAGGGCAGAAACCACATGATCATATCAGTAGATGCATAAAAGTTTTTGACAAAACCCAACATCTATTCATGATAAAAACTTTGAAGAAAAGAGGTATAGAAGGACTTCATTTCAGTCAGTCTAATAAAAGCCATTGATGACCTGCTGCCAACATCATATTAAATGCAGAAAAACTAAATGTTTTTCCACTGAAATCAGAAACAAGAGAAGAATGTCCACTATAACAACTCTTGTTCCATATAGATTTTGGAAAAGGTAGCCAGAGTAATCAAGCAAGAGAAAGAAATAAAAGAGATATATGTAAGAAAAGAAAAAAGTCAAATTACCATTTTATAGACCCCCCCAAAAAAATCCACCACCAAAAGAGTTTTAGAATTAATAACCAAACTCAACAATGTATTAGGATACAAAATAAAATGCAATGGCACACAGCTATCAGTAGCATACCCATACACCAATAAGGAACTTGCTGAGAAAGAAATTAGGAAAAAAGTAACATTTACAATAACATCAAAAAATTAAATACTTTGAAATTACACTAACCAAGAAAGTGAAAGACATCTCTCTACAATGAAAACTATGGTTCTCTGAAGAAAAAGATTGAAGAGGATATCAGAAAATGGAAAGATATCTTATTTCCAGATAGAATCAATATAGTCAAAATGTCCATACTTTTAAAACCAATACACAGATTTAATAGAATCCTCTCCAAAATAACAGCAGTTCTCACAGAACTAGAGAAAAGAATCCTAAAATTCAAATAGAACGAAAATAGATCTAGAATAGCAAAAACAATCTTGGGTAACAAAAACCAAGCAGCAGGCATCACAATCTCAGATTTCAAGTTATATTACAAAGCTACAGAGATAAAAACAGCACAGTCCTGTTACAGAAACAAATATATGGATCAGAGGAACAGAATAGAGGCTGCAAGAGGGGAAGAAAAACCAGGCACATTTACCTATCTGGTGTTTGACAAAGGAACCAAAAATATACATTGGAGGAAGGATAGCTTCCTTAATAAATGGTTCTAGGAAAACTGGCCATCTACATGCCAAAGATTGAACCTAGATCCATGTTTCTCATCATGTACTAAACTAAAATCAAAGCAGATCAAAGATGTAAATATCAAAACAAAAATAACCTGCTGGAAGATAACATAGGTAAAACTCTTGAAGTCATAGATACAGATGAGGACCCCAATAGTACAAGAAATAACACTAAGAACCATCAATGAGATCATGTCAAATTAAAAACTACTGCACTATAAAGGAAACAATCAACAGAATGAAAAGAAAACCTAAAGAATGGAAAAAAATTTTTTGCCAGCTGTTCCTTAAACAGAGGACTAATGTTTCGATGATACAAAAAACTCAAAAAATTAGACCTCCAAAATAAAAATCCTGATCAAAAATGGGCAACTGAAAAGAAATTTCTTGGAGTAAGCACAAAAGGCCAATAAATACATAAAAAATGTTCACTATCACTGGATACTAGAGAAATGCAAATTAAAACAACAGTGTGATTCCATCTTACCGCAGAAAGAATGACTATCATCAAGAAATCAAATAATAACAAAACTGGAGAAGCTATAGGGGAAAGGAACTATTTTACACTGCTAGTGATAGTGTAAATCAGTATAACCATTATGAAAATTAATATGGAAAATCCTCAAACTAAAAATAGAAATTTCATTCCCCTTTTTAGGTATCTTCCTGAAAGAGATAAGAGCATCATATTACAGCAATACATACATGTTCATGTTTATAGCAGCACAATTGATAATAGTTAAGGAAGCCAAATTTCCTCACTTAAAGGTGACAGTAATCTAATTTAACCCTTTGAAGAAGTAAAATTTGTAAAAATACCCTCTCTTTCATTCCTAATATTGGTAATATACATTTACTTTTTTTCTTTTTTTTTAATCACTCTGGCTAAAGTTTTATAAATTGTATTTATTTTTTATTTTAAAGAGTAAAGCCCAATAAAACACAACAGTAAAGCCAACCAAAGCCTTTCATTGTTTTAGTACTCATGCTGAGGGCGATCTGGCTTCTCACTTCCTAGGCCCTGCATGGTTTGTGTGACTTAGCGGAAGGGTGAACAGGCTATAAAGTATATTAATCTTTTCAAAGTATCCAGTTTGGGTTTTACTAATTTTCTCTCGTTCATTTTTCTTTTGAAAGAAGGAAAGTTTATTTGGTGTATAGTCTGTGGAGGTTTCAGTCCAAAATCAGCTCCAAGGTAGGGTGGCATGGCACAGGGGCAGCGGTTCAGGGTAGCCGAAGACAAGAACAAAAGGTGCGGGCGTGGGGGCAGCCTCTTTTCCTCCCTTATACTGTAAGCAGGCCACCAGC